TTGAATGCTCCAGGCTCCCATATGAGCGCTGGTTCTAATCCTGGCGGTCCCGCTTCCCATCCAGCTCCCTGCTTGTGGCCTGGGAAAGCAGTCGAGGACGGCCCAAAGCCTTAGGACCCTGCACCCATGTGGGAGCCCGGAAGAGCTCCTGGTTCTCGGCTTTGGATCGGCACAGCACCGGCCATTGCGGTCACTTGGGGAGTGAATCATCGGATGGAAGATCTTCCTCTCTGTCCTCTTCTCTCTATATCTGACTTTGCAATAAAAATAAATAAATCTTTAAAAACATATTTTGTTTTGTTTTATGATATAGCTTCATAGGCTTTGGGGTTGCCCGTGCCCTTCCCCAAACACTGATTTCCCTTCTAGTTTTACAATGGATGTCCCAATGGGTATCCTTCATGAACAGTCACAAGTCCATCACGCTATTATTGAAGTGTTTGCCGACAATGTAGGCATGGACATTACCAAGGAGTCCATCATCTTACTGTTAAGATGTATTCAATTCTGTCACTGGGAGTCCATCTTTGGTCTGTATGCATAATCTTTTAGATTGATTAAAACAACTCAAATGAAAAATGATGGTAGGCCTTGAGAGTCAATGGAAAAAGTGCACAAGAATGCAAGATACTTTAGCTCAGAAGAAATCTTTCCATGACCTTTTAAACTAATATGCTTTAGTTAATGGCTGTAGGAGTACAACTGATCAGATCTTTAAGAAAAATAACTGATTAGAGAGAGGACTTTGGGAATGCTTGCCAGTGTGGAGCCAGAGCTAGCTGCAATGTCCTGGGAGCAGTTAATATGGAAATGAACAGGCAAGAGTCTGGGGGTTTAGACAACAGATCAAAGAGAGGTGCTTCTTCGCCCAGGTAGCCGAACAGGAATTTACAGACAGAGGAAAGGAACTTGCTAGACCAACAAATTGTGTTTTAGGGGACTACTTCTTGCTGTTGAAAGATAAATTCCTCAAACCCCCTCCCTGACACCTACTGATGACCTGTCTTTAAAAAGTCTGAAGATATCAGGTCTGGCGCTGTAGCCTAATGGCCAAAGTCCTTATCTTGCATGTGCTCGGATCCCATATGTGCACTGGTTCTAATCCCGGCTGCTCCACTTCCCACCCAGCTCTCCCTGCCTGTGGCCTGGAAAAGCAGTGGAGGATGATCTCCCCCAGACCCAAAAGAAGCTCCTGGATCTTCCTCTCTGTACATTTGCCTTTCCAATAAAAATAAATCTCTCTTTAAAAAAGTGTGATGATGTTAATAAACAACGGCTGTTGACCACCAGTCAGTAGTCCACACGATTCTTCTATCGGTTCCCTGCGCCCAGTCCATCGCTGCTGGACAGTGAGCAAATGACTCATTCACTGTTCTGAGTCTGTCTACCAACAAATCACTAACACCTTCCACAAAAACAACAAGTCCCTGCAGGTTTTCCCCCTTCATTCTTTCATAGTCTTCCACTTAATTCATACGCACATTTTAAAAAGCACACCACAGCTTCTAATCTCATTTCTGGGATCAGGACTACCAACCAACAGAGGAAACCTAATTCTGCTACTGACTGCTTTAAATTACTCCCAAATCACTCAGTCCTCCATTTGCACCAACCCCTTCATTACTTCTTTTCTCAGCTGACAAAAGAAGACAACTTCTGCGCGCTAACCACTTCACTTGGGTGAAAGAAATTTATTACTCAGTCACTCAACAGATAGTCCAAAGCGATGGGGAAGACTGCATGAGATGCTAGGGAGAAAAAGTGGACACAGGATGAACAAGAAGATCTCACCATCCAACATTTATACCAACAAATCAGGCTTATCAAGTTGCAGAGTAAGACCACCACTCCGACTTGGTCATTATGAATCCCCTTCCTCAGGGCCAACTCAGAATGCTGACAACAATAATGCAGTAGACATCCAATAAAGGAGAGTTACGAATAGTACCTTTAATAGGTGAATTTTTAAATGAATAACATAGAATCTAAACTGTAAAATTAGAGCGAGCACGGAATGGGATAGAGTCAGTGAGGAGGATTTTTCAACTAAGCCAGAAATGGAGTTTATCAGGGGAAGTGCAGAACGCATCCCGTTTCCAAAGGACACAACCATCCGAGCACAGAGCACAGAGCTGATGTGGGGAGGGTGGGAAGTGAGTATTTACTCAGCCGTAATTAGGTGCCAAGTGCTCGCTTCACCACTATGGTAACTTCATGAGGGAGATAATACACCAGAGCCCCTGGTTTACAGATAAGGCAGCTGACAGGGACTCTATGTGCTAAAGGCAAGACATCAACCAACTCCAGCTGGTTATGCTTCTGGAAACCTGGACTTGGACAGCACTCAAACAGCCCGCCAAAGATCTCATCACTCAGACCACACGCAGCAAGCATGAGGCTTAAGGAAGCGACCCTGCAGAGTGCAGGAGATGGCCCAAAGCAGTGAACGTCAGCAAGTGGCAGCGACATTCTGTGGGTGCCCTGGCTAGCCAGGAGGGTTGCAGCCTGCACGTTAGCACCAGGAATAAACCGGCACCACAGCACCACAAGCACGGCTGGAGTTCCCTTGCTAGGAAACGCGAAGCAGGATGCCACAACGCAAGTGGGTGGCTCGCCTGCTACCATCGAGCCGGCTCTGGGAATCCGTTTCATTCACATGATACTTGATTGTGTCTCAGTGTGAGAAATTCTTCTGAATCTATGGATTTATAATGAACTCTGCCTAAGGCTTTTTCACTAAACTTTCATTAAAATTACTGTTATGGTCTAATACAGACATATTTAAGAAGATTGGAACGATAAGAAGGGACATGGGAGAAAAATCACAACACAGCACCAGGCATGAGGGGCGCTTAGGATCGAGCTGGGAGCACATGTTAAATTGGGTTTCGGGCAGGTCCACCACTGAAACTTTCAACTCCGCTGCCAGCACTTCACTGCCTTTGCTAACCTTACCTCCCCTGGACTTCCTGGCAACACCAGAACAACCCTTCTTACAAGACAACTTGATTTTAGGTAACAGTCCATCACAAATCCTGACAAGCCAATGAGGTAACCACTCCCCTCCCCCTAACAGGGGGACCTTAAGTTTCATTGCAGCCACCACCCTGTCTTCAAAGCTGCCCGAATCTGTGTTTTCCAGGATCACAATCCTATTTTGCTACCAAAGAAACGTGATTTTTCTTCATTCTCAGGGTGGTTTTTGACCCTCGGCCAACACAGACAGGATCTAGAGTACTTGCTCCAGCATGTCAATGCTGCCTAGCCCCCACCCGGGCACCCGGCACCCACCACCCACCTCAGGCCGTGCAGGGCTGCAGGGTAAGTACTTCCGGGCTCCCATTCCCAGCCTGGTTTGTGTCCAGGTGTGAAATCTTCCTACAGCTGCTCGTGTTGCTCTCTGCTCTGTTTGGGGGAATTCTCCTTGCTGCCAGGCATGGGTTAGGATTACAGATAAGTTCCATTCCAGCCAGGAGGAGAGCACAGGGCAAGGCAGGAAAGGTGTGTTTGTGTTAATTGGGTTACAGATTTTGTTCTTTCTGTGTGTGCCTTTGCATCTAACAGATTACAGCTCAGCTTCCTTTAACATCTTGTAGCCATTTCCAATGTCAGTACTGGACTTGGAGTGAAAAAAGGATTCTAAACAGTGCTCCTTCACTCCCTCCCGTTGTTTTAGGCGACCAAAAACCTTGTGCAAGCGTCTGGGCGCACGGCTTACCAGCACAGGCAAACAGGCATGGCCTGTGATGGGCACAGTTGGAGCCCTCGGTGGGGAATGCTCACAGCAGCCGGCATCGTCTAAGGTTGCGAGTTCCCCGGGGATGGACACTGTTGGCATCAGGGCACAAGACACTGTTTCAACCGGAGGAATCCCTGCGAGGTCCAATCGGAAGCCCATCCTCCAAGCCCCTTCGGAAACTCCACTTGGGACCTCCGGATCTTCCCCACCTAAATGTACCGGTGCACGGATCCAGTAATGCCGGAAGATTCAAAACTGCAGTCGCCCAAGCACGGGACTTTCACAAGACCCGGGGTACCTCCTCCTCACGGCTGCCTCTCTCTGCTTTGCTCCCCTCAGCCCCCCATTACAAGCCTAGCCAGACTCCCCAGGACGTGTCTGCCGTCGGCTGACAGTGGCTCCGGTCGGCCCGGCAGGCCCCTGGCGCGGGGCGGCACTGGCCCGGGAGTCGCAGCCCGCACCCCGGCCCGCCCCGCGTCTCCTTACCCGGGCTCAGATCCAGCGGGCACCAGGGCTGCAGGCCGCTGCCCAGGCCCCGCAGCGCCTCCATGATGCCCCAGCGCTGCGCGCCGCCGCCCGGCCCGACTTTGAAAGCTGGCTCCCGCGCGCGCCCCAGACGTCCCCGCGGGCCAATCACAGCCGAGGAAACGCCCCACGGCCAATCACCGCGCAGGGCGGCTCCGTCCTCTGGACCAATCAGCTGGGGCGTCCGCCGAATGCGCCAAAAGGGGGGCGGGCCGTGCGTACGACTGAGCTCCTGAAGTCTTTTTCAAGTGGGAACCAGCCGCCTAGCTAACGTTTACTTGGCTCTTCCCTGCCCCCTTTTGCTTCAGTGGGAGGGAATCTAAAGGAAATGTGGAGCAGGTTGTGACAATTTGTGTCACAGCTGACACTTGGCGTGTCAGAAGTCTCTTGATCCCGCCAGCCTATCTTGAGTGTGATGGTGGCTCGGCGTTTTTACAGCTAACACGACGGTGGAACATTCTGGAGGGCGGCAGCTGTTCCTTTCCAGACGCCGACCCGGCACGGAGTCTACTGGCATGAGGTCTCGGCGGCCATGCCATCTAAGGGAAAGCTAGGCCTTCCTCCTCCCCGCGCACATGCGTACTGAGCACACCTGCCGGAGGCCCCCAGGCCGCAGCCGGGGAGCCGGCGGCGTGCGCGCCTGCGCACATCATCCCCGGCGCATCGGGAGCTGCCCTCGCTCAGCCGTGCCCCGCCCGGAGCCGCCGAGGCGCTTGGGTGGCTTGGCTGGCCCGGAGGCTGGGCGGCTGGCTGGCTGCCGGCCACGCACCCCCGGCCCTGCGGGACTGCGCTGCCCAGGGCTGCACGGCGGAGCCCGGGCCGCCCCGCTCGGCGCAGTGCACGGGCGCTGCAGCCCACACTCGCTGACTGCCCCCGGGGGTCGCCCCCCGGCCGGCCACCGCAGCCAGGCCGCGCGGCCCTGCAGCCTGCCCGCGCGCCCCGGCGCGGCCCCGCGGGGAGATGAGCTTCTTCGGCTTCGGTCAGAGCGTGGAGGTGGAAATCCTGCTCAACGATGCGGAGAGTCGGAAACGGGCCGAGCATAAGACGGAGGACGGGAAGAAGGAGAAATATTTTCTCTTCTACGACGGGGAGACCGTCTCCGGCAAGGTGAGCCTTGCGCTCAAGAATCCCAACAAGCGGCTGGAGCACCAGGGCATCAAGATCGAGTTCATCGGGCAAATCGGTGAGTGACCTGGGCCCCGGCCGGGCCTGCCTCGCTGACCTGGGTTGCGGCCTCCCGTGGGCAGCGAGCGCCCTGGAGGAGGGGCCCCTGGTGGCCGCCCGCTCCCGACTCTGCTGTCAGAGCCTGCAGGTGGATGTGCACAGGGCTGGAGGTGGAGGCACAGCTCCAGACGGCCGCGGCTGTGGCTTCCCAAGTTGAGCTGGCCTCTGCGGCGCTGGGTTCTCCGGTGACCTGGAGTGGTAGGGACAGGGCCCTGCCGCGCCCTGGCAGCACGTGCTGGAGAGCGGTGGTGTCCAGCCCCGGTCTCTCTTGCTTAACTGACCCACGTTTCTCGGTCTTGGGTGTCGTAGCGCTGGTTTTCCACTGTCTGGTTTTCTCTGTAAAGACAAAGGGACGATGTTTCCAGCACGCGAGCTACAGGGCAACGATCGCTCTCGACGCATTCGAAGCGGTGTGTGCATGGTTAGAAGCAGACAACCAAAGGCAGTAACTGGCTAAGAAGCGGGTTTTGGGGGAGACTACCCTTTAGGATTGCTATGTCTGTCATCCCGAGATAGCCAGTGCTTGCCTGCTTTAAAATACTCGGGTGCTTCCGTTTCTGCGGTTCAGTCCCCAGCGGATTTCACTGTGGATACTCCCGTGGGCCGCAAACGCCCCCTCTCTGTATGCGTACCACTGCTTTTAAGACTGACTTGGGGAAGCTTGTAAACGCTCCTATCCTGAGGGTGTAGCACAGAATTGGATCACTCCCGTTTTCTGGGGCGTGCAACATAGCAACAAGGGTAGGAAGCAGGGACTCAGCGGCCTGGCTGTGCAGCCCACACAGCCTCTGCTACTGGGAAGCTGCAGGTAGGCTGTGGAACCGGAATACCAATGGCCCAGGAAAGGGGCTGTGAGGAGAGGCAGGTGCTGTCTTCTGTCACCAGAGGTGTGGCAGCATGGCCAGCCTTGCCCCGCCCCCCAGGTCCCAGGCGGACCCTCGATAGGGACCACAGTAACATGGACCCCCGATAGGGACCACAGTAACATCTGCCATTTGTCTCCATCTTCCAGAGGCACGGAACAGACAGGAAGCAGCCAGAGCCTTTTCTGAGATTGTGAAGTAGTCACGTGGAAGTAGTCATTGTAAGACAAATCCCTTGTTGTCTTTGTGATGCCAGTGGACACAGCGATGTTTGGCATGGGTGGTGGTAAGGGTGTCCATGTGTGGCACACAATGCAGAACAGTTCCTGCAGACACTGGCAGGACCCTAGCAGGGTCGCCTTGCTGTCAGCGGGAGGCTGCCGGCTCTTCCTGCTCCTGGTCCTCCTGTGGCTTTCTCATCTTCAGACATCCCTGCCCAGTTGCCTCGGAAGCTTGTGTTGCTCCATCTAATAACTCTTCCCCGGAACCCTGAGCACTGTGGACTGAGTGACAGGGGGACTCTGCGGAAATTAGACCCCTTCCTGGGCCTCAGCTTCCTTAGCTGTCCGGCAAGACTAATACCATCTCCTGAGGCAAGATTGAATACATGGGGGAATTGGACGTCACATCCCCAACATGGATCCTATGTGAAAATCAAAGCAGGTGATGCAGTGATGTTCTCACTTCACAGGTGCAGTTCTGTGTCTCTGACCTGCTGCCCACTCCCCTCCATCCTGCGCTGGATGGCCTTGCTGTGACTGTGGCGAGTATGCGTGTCAGCCCCTTAGAGCACTTGCTCTGGGCACGCGGGCCTGTCCCAGCTGTGTGTTTGAAGTAGTCCATTCACACTGAGTGACTTGCGGCTACGTGAGAACCTAGTGATGGGATAAGGCAGAGTGCCATGCAAGATGCTTGTTCCTAGGCTCCGGGATGTGTTCCTTGATCTGAAACAAGGCATTGCAGGTAGCTTTTTCAGATACGTTTAATGTATAACATGGACCAGCCTGCTTATTGTCCCCTCCTGGCCCCCACAGAAGCAGATGTCGCATGTCTGCAGCAGGCTCCATGAGTTGATCTCAGGGCACCAGAGCAAGGCTGGTGAGTGACTGCTGATTTGTGGTCTTGTGGTTTTATCCTTCACTGAGTTCTTAGACTGTGAAGTGGGCGGAACTTCCGTCGGGGTCTGAGGTCTGGCTGTATACGGGCGATGCGAATGAGGCTAACGAAGCTGATGTCATTTGACTGTATCCCTCTTCCTCACTAATTTTGGGTGAGGGTTTGGGAGGCAGACAGGAAGAAGTGCAACTTACGTGCCCTGTCCCATATTTCCTGTAACGAGTGTCTTCAGTGTCTTCTTGTGTTCTCATCGCCCCTGAACTGTGTCATTGTCCTGACTCAGATTCTCTGCCGACTTCCGCACCTGTATTTGGAGCTGCCTGCTGGACAGAGCCACTGGATGCTCCCAGGTGCTCTTCCTGCTTCTCACAGGCTCCTTGCTGGTCTTCGTTTTCTGTCATGCTCGGTGAAAAGTGAACTTTGTAAAAGGCAGTTAACCCCCTCCTGAAGATTGTTTTCTGGACTCTGTTTAAAGGGGAAATTATAGCTAAATCCTCCCAGATCAGATCACCATCTTTCTTTCAGGCTTCATTTCTCCTTAATCCTTCACCTTCAGGACTTGTACCATCCTCAGAATACCTTACCTTTCTGGAATGTTAGTCTCTCCTCCTTTGTATGTTGTCATCTTTCCATAAGGCATGACCATCTAGCCAGGCCCTTACTCATGCTGCAGAGCTTGTCGGCAACATCTGGTCCACCAGAGAGCCTTCCCTCCCTTGCCCAGGTTGACCTGCTCTTCCAGGGACACCATTGATATCCTGTCTCAAGCAGGAATTGAAAAGATTCAAACTAGCTTTTGGTTTTTCCTTAAACTTGCCTGTCTTTCTCAGTGACATCAAGAGTCTGGCAGCTAATGTCTAGTCTTAGTGGCTAAGAAGTTACAGAAACTATTTCTTTACTATTATCTCCTGCAGGATAAACCAGGAGTATTTTAATGAAGTAATGGGGTGTACATGTTGGCTTTCCTAGTTACCATTAGGTATGTGGGCTTCCTACTTGCCCTGACAAGCCAAGAGCTGCAGCCTGTTGAAAGCTGGGATGACCCATGACCAGTGTGAACCCACCGGGGGAACTGGGCTAGGGAAGCCTCAAACCCATATTAGTTGCTTGCTTTTACAACTTCTTTTTCATTCTGCCATGCCACATCGATGCTGGTTTCTCTTGGTACTGGCACAACATCCCTAATCTGAAGATCGCCGAATACAAAACCCCAGTTCCGATGTGTTACTGCAAAAGTTTGAGGTTTCAAGCTTTCGGATTAGAGATGCACAGTTGGTAATAAGCGAATTTTCCAATCCTTCCCCATGTCAGTCACCCCCCCCCCCAATAAATAAATAAATAAATAACCCGCCTGTGAAATCTTACAGCTTTCTGGGCCGAGCTCTTTGGATGAGGTGCACTCAGTCCCGTACCCAGCTCCTCGTCCTCACAGTTTGAATGTTTCTGCCTGCAACTGTGGGATCTTACTCTCTTGTATCTCCTGGGTCAGGCCGGGTGGAAAGGTTGGCTCAGTCACCAGCCAATGGCTCGCATCTTGAGAAAGACACATGGCACATAAACAGCATCATGGGAAGAAATGTGAGGATGAGAGGAGAGACTATTTTGTAGTCAGAATCCTTTGGGGAACACTGGTAGAAGCTGTAAGACATACTGGGCCCATGTTATGGTCCTGACAGGGCGACATAAACCAAATACAGTGTTAAGATGAAGCCTGCACAGGACAGACACACAGGCATGCCTGTCCTCTAACGTGAACCCGTCAGTACCACATCAGCCTTGCACCTAGAGTTCTGTGCATCTCAGTTCATCAACCTTTAAAAAACAAAACACACATATTGGGAGTAAATGAATGGATCCTGGTCCACTTGATAGAGTTTGGAGCAATGCCACCTCGAGTAGTGTTGGATACAGGCTGAAGTTACCAGCATGCAGATATGTTGGTGTTAGCTGGCCAACCAGCACATGGATGGGAACATCAGACGACCAGGCTCTTCCAAGAGCAGCGTGAGGCCTGGACTGAATGTGGCCCTGAGCCAGCAGGAGTCTCAGGGCTTCTGTCACATGATCAGCCTGTGATGTAAACCTAGCTCCGTTTCCCTCCAAATTGGCCAATTCACTTCTTGGCCATTAACGGCAAGTTTTGCCATGAAAGCATCCTGAATGCAATAGCTATTTCCTCCTGTCAGACTAAGAAGGAAGTTCAGGACAGAGAAGTTACCTTAAATAAAACCTACCAGTTCCTCCTCCAAACTTGAAATGTCTGGCCCTGGAGCACTTTGGTGTTAGGAGAGAATTGGGCATGATTTTGTGGTTGCTTCTTTAGGCTGGAATGGAGGCATTTTATGGTCCCAAAGGGCCCCAAATTCTTGCTAAAACAGTCTTGGATTTTCTGTTCCAACTTATGTAGAAGAAAACCAGAGTTTCTGGCAAATTGCAAAGTATTACTGCTGCTGCTGTCCCTTGGCACATCAATGTTTGTAAAAGCTTATAAGTGATAAATTAAAGAGTCCAGGTGAGCCCTACTCAGATCACACCGGCTACTCTTCCGCCCATGACATTTGATGTAGGACTGGATATTAATGTGGGGTCAGGAGGAGGTGTGCTAAAGGGAAGGTGATGCTTTGCAGGGCTGGGAAGGACGGCTGGCCGAGGTCCCCTGCGGGGTCACGCCTCCTGCCGGATTCTGCACTGTTGCTAGGCGCTCGCTCCAATGCTGCCAGCCTCAGGCCTTCTCACGTTTGTTTGTTTCTCCAGTTCCCTTTCAGCTGTGTCATCACGTTTGTGTATTTTTCCATCCTTTCATCCCATATTTCTTTCGACTTTGGGATTTTCTACTTGAATTTCACAGACATTGGAGATCTTCCTCCATATGGCTCTGTACCTCGAAACTGTGGCCAGAGTTTGTTGTTTGGGAACTGAAGTGCTGAGTTCCCAAGAGAGGGGTTCAGTTCCCAATTGCAGTTACACATTGTCATCACCCATCTCAGGGCTCTGTGCGGTTATCACTCACTGCCTAGAACGCTATCCACTGCTAAAACCATTTAGTGTGTAAAGAGAAGGTGCACGTTGTAATAAAGATTAATCAAAGTGTGGCTATACAGGATGTCAACCACAAACTGTGACCAGAAAATACATTGTAGGGATTACCTATGTCCCTGCTGCCTTCACAGGTTAACTGAGTATCGTGACAGGGTCCCCCTCTGCTTCAGAATGCCCCTCCATGTAGTGGAAAAAATTCCTTATTGAATAAGTGGATCGAGGGGACTCCTCCACCAGCAACGGGTGCAGATTGCAAGCCACCACATAAAACAGTTTTTCCAGGAATGATTGTGCCCCTGGAGCCGAACACCTTTGGTTCTGGGAGAAAGCAGTCTGGTTTCTTGGGCCAGGAAGGCGTTGGTCCTAAATGAGGGCTCTGTTTCGGGTACCCAGAGCGTGCAGTCCCCCTCAGCCCTGAGTGCTCTCAGAGATCCAGGGCTGGACATCGTGGGCAGTGGTCCCCAAGAGCCCTCTCTGTGGACGAGTCTCTACCTCCAGGAAGCAGCAGGTCTACTCTGCCTGCTCCACGTGCTGCTTGCCGTGCTGCTGCAAGTTTAGCACAGGACGTGAGCCCAGAAATATATGAGGCGCAGTAAGTTGAACTGTAAGGTGGCAGTGTTGCATTACTGTAGGGTCAGGTGCTGGGGGTGTTCACGGCAGCTGAGGGTACAGGTCTTCGGTTCAGAATGAAAAGAAAGATCTGGTAAGATGTGTAGCAGAATATGAGGAGCTAGGAAACACTGCAGAACAGACACCATGAGCTGCTACCTGTAAAGAAACACCAGAACTGAAGAGGATAGATTTAATTAGAGCCATGGTTTTCCAAGGGTGCTCCCTACCCTCCCAGAGACTCTCTTAGAAGTATGTACCCCCTGGGCCCAGCGGCGTGTCCTAGTGGCTAAAGTCCTCGCCTTGAACGCGCTAGGATCTCACATGGGTGCCGGTTCTAATCCCGGCAGCTCCACTTCCCATCCAGCTCCCTGCTTGTGGCCTGGGAAAGCAGTCGAGGAAGGCCCAAAGCCTTGGAACTCTGCACCCGTGTGTGAGACCTGGAAGAAGTTCCTGGCTCCTGGCTTCAGATCGGCATAGCGTCAGCCGTTGTGCTCACTTGGGGAGTGAACCATCGGACGAAAGATCTTCCTCTCTGTCTCTCCTCCTCTCTGTATATCTGCCTTTCCAAATAAATAAATAAATCTTAAAAAAAAAAAGAAAGAAATATGAACCCCTCCCCCGGTTCCACCCAGACAACCTGAACCAGAGGTTCTGAGCGTGGTGTCCAGCCTTGTGCTACAGCCGGTCCCCCGGTGGTCCTGGCGCACACTGAATTTTGAGGACTACTTTAGAGAATCAAATGAAAACTTCCACCATCAGATGGTCAGGTGGGCTACACGCTTTTCTTTTGGAGTGCAGCAGTAGCTCTCAGCCATTCATGTTAGTCTTTGCTGTCTGCTAGATGATGTTCTGCATCCTTTCCCCACATTGCCTCCTTTGCTTCTCACAGAACCTTGTAAAGTAGGTTGTGTCCTAGCCCAGAAATAGCGGCGGTCCCAGAGGAAGCCTGCTCCCACCTCAGCCTTGCAGCCAGTTCTGTGGCTAGCCCAGGCAAACTCGGACACGCACCCTGCCTCTGTGTTCTTCTCCACGAACTGGGCTGATGAGGTCTGTCTAGGTGCCTCACAAAATTACAAGGACAAGACAGTTGGATAACTACAAAACCTTCCCAAAGCTGGAAATATGCAAAACGAAAGCTGCTGAAGGAAATGTGGCCTTTTGAAAAATGCTGGCATCCATGATGTCTCTTGTTTTAAAATTGTTTTGTTTTTTATAATAATTACATGGTTGATCAGGGTGGGAAGGATCGAGGTTTAGGTAAAACTGGGTGAACTCATTGTTTCCAGATTTGCTATTCTTGTTTCTGGGGGAAGGGGTAAGATAAAGGGGGAAGCCACATGACTTTCCAAATGTCCCAGTACCCAGGGAAGAGGAACTGCCACCTGATATACACCCAGGGTGCCGATGTGTGCATATTCCAAGGGTTCTGCCCAAGTGGTTTGTATGGTTCTGAAATGCTGTCGATTTCACTGATCAAGGATGATGCAGTCCTCTCAGTGTCCATTGGCTGACACAGTAAGCCGCAAGTCTCCGTTCACCAAGATTTTGTGCTGTCATCATTTGACTGGGGTGGTTGTCCAGTTAGTTCTGTTCTTCTGCTATAGAACAAAATGAGCTGCCATATTCTCCATTTACATCAGGATGTGTGTCCACTGCTCCGCCTTTTTCACTGAGGAGGACGTGTTCTTGCAGGCAAGTCCAAAGACCCAGGCCAGTTGTCCAAAGCCTCACCTGATCCCCCATCCCTGGGGCTCAGAACCTGGCACCCACCTCTCAAGCAGGCTCCAGGACCCAGGCTAGGCGACCTGAGTCCCACCAGATTCCCCATCCCCAGGGCTCACAAATCCGGGCCCCACCATGCAGGTAGGTCCTAGGACCCAAGTCCTGCAAGATCCCACACCCCAGCACTCACGAACCTGGCACATGCTGACCCCAGGCTGTCATGGCTCACCTCACCTCAATATCCACAATCTTATTGCACATCCTGGCCTGGTCTAGCTTGCCACCTGTTCCAGCTCCTGCTGATGGATGCTGCTGCCTAACCCAGCCCAGCCTGATCGGTGTCCCAGCCCTAATGTGAACTGGCTGGTGTTGTGGCCCGATCTGGCTCCTGCTGCACCCTGTCCTGATCTCAGATATGCCAGTTGGTGTTATGAACTTGCCCAGACAGTTCTGTCCCCAGACCTTATCCGCATGTATGCCTGCGGCTACTGAAACCTGGCATGGTCTGGGCTGTTCCTTGCCTTGATTCTTGTGCTCACCTAAAGAGACTACATCCCAGTGAAGCAGTTTCCCAAGTTCCTCTATCGAGACTTCTCCTTGTGGTAGTTCTCACACACACCATTGGGTCCTTGGCCCTGGTTGACTTGGCCCAGGTTGACTTGGCCCAGGTTGACCTGGCCCAGGTTGACCTTCTGTCTTGGTAAGAACATGGTCTTGCTCAACTGGCCCATACCCATTCTGGTTCTTACAGTTGGGTGTTGCAGCCCAGCAATACCTGGTCCATGCCCAGACACAGCTCTACCATGGTTCGACAGGAGTCAAAACCTAGCCCAGCCTGTTCTGCACCCAACCTGGCTCTCACGAGGACCAGTGGGTACTAGGCTGCAACGTTGATTTTGATTAAGATGCTGCCATACTGTCTTGGAGTAAAAATGACTCCTGTACGACAGAAGTTCACTGTGTAAAATCTAAGTTTTTGGGAATAGGGGTAGGAGGGAGACCAGCATCCCGTGTGGCATGCAGTGATGGAGCAGTAATCCGAGGAAGAGAGGAGATCGAGACCCAAGCCTGGAGGGATGTGTCAGGGCTCAGTCTTCCAGAAGCCTCATACTGGCAGCCTTGGAGCCTGTGGTCTGATAGCTGGACTCACTGCTCTCTCTCCAGAACTCTACTATGACCGTGGGAACCACCATGAGTTTGTGTCTCTGGTGAAGGACCTGGCTCGGCCTGGAGAGATCACCCAGTCGCATGCCTTTGACTTTGAATTCACACACGTAGAGAAGCCGTATGAGTCCTACACAGGCCAGAATGTGAAGCTGCGGTAAGTCATCCCCAGTGCTCTGCACGGTGCTCCCAACCCAGCATGTGTGGAGGAGACTGGAAGCTAACCCTGCTTGGAACTCCTGCAGGTGGTTACTGAGAGGGCCAGGCTTTTTGCGCTGTGACATGCAGGTCTCTGTTCAGCAGCTGCCTGCCTGTGAGAGAGAAGCCCCTGGCTTGTAACACTGAGTTTCTGTAGGGTAGATAGGTAGCTCCCAGCACCCTGCACTCCAGCCTGCCAGCCTGGTACCCCTGAAGCAGAGAGGTAGGGAGAGGCTTGTAGCCATGTTTACACAGCATTCCCATTGCACAGAGAGCAAAGAGCACCAGAAAACAGAGAAATAATGCGGAGACTATGGCTTTTCAGTATGCATTGCCTTTGTTTCAGGTTACTTTGTCTAAGTTTATATAATTTAAGTTTTAGCTGTTTTTAATAGTCCATAAAATTGTTTGAAATGCAGTTGTCAGTTTTTGTGACTGCTGGGCCCACCATGGTCATGGCTGGGACCTGCCTGCTGCCCAGCAGAGCCACACGGTGTCAATGAGGCTGTGGGCTCTGGGACTCCACAGATTTGGATTTGATTCTGTCTTCTCTTTTAGAAGTGGTAGGAAAATAAAACTTAACAGTGTGATATGTTTTTTTTTTTTTTAATTAAGAGTACATTGTAAGTACACGGGATTGTTTTGCTACTGCGTCCACAAGAACTCCAAAGATGGGCCTCAGGAGTGAAAGAAAAAAAAAAAAAAAGACTAGATAGCAGCTGCAGACGCTTAGCTGTATCCCTGTAAATGGGTGAGGTCACAGAAATAAAACATACTCGTGTGTTACCCTGCATACCCGACCAGGTCCCAAGAGGAGTCCATTTTCCTCTGAAGGACTGGGCACAGGCTGCTCTAGCCTATAGAACCTTCCCTGCCTGCATCCCACTGTCTTGTCTCCCACCACAGCAGTGCCCCCACTCTTCTCACACAGGTCCCAGTACTGGTGTTGCCCACACAAAACAGTGTTCCATGACTGCACTCTGAGAGCAGCTAGGGTGAAGCTTATTAGAAGCTATCCCTTGGGCTTCACTATGCATTTATTATTGTCTAATATTTTTTGTGAAGTTTTGTTTTCCTTTTAAAAATACTATTTAGTTTTATTTTGATGATGTTTACATAGTTGGTTAGGGTGGGAAGGATCAAGAGTTAGGCGAAAATGAATGAGACCATTGTTTCCAAATTTCCTTTTTCTTCTTCCTGTATCTGGGGGAAGGAGGGAGTAAGCGGAGAAGCCATAGCCAGCCTCCCAGCCACCTCAGTACCCAGGGATGGGGAACAGCCACCTGATGTGGAGTGTGCCCCGAAGGTTCTGCTCAGGTGGTTTCAGTGCTTCTGAAATGCTGTCAGTCTCTCAGGTCCAAGGATGAGGAAATCCTTTCAAGGGCCATTGGCTGACATAGTCCACCTTAGTGTCTCCATTCACCCAGATATTTGGTAACAACATTTGGCTGGGGTAGTTGACCAATTTGTTCTGCCTTCCTTCCTCTGCTATGGTACACCAGATATCCTCTACCGACCCCAGTAGACGTCCATAGCCTCCCTGTGCATCTGGGCATGCCGTCCGCTGCTCCGTCTGAGCCACTATGGAGGCCCAGTCCTGACACATCCATTCCATGGTCAGCAAGTACAGTGGCCTTGTCAACAGAAGTCCCTCATAAGTCATTCCTCACCTGCAACATATTCCCTCAGCCGTCCTCCCTCCCCACATTCTCTTTCTTCTTTTCCCTGGTCAACCCACAGTCTGTGTACCCAGGAGCACATGAGGTTTCTTGCGGCAAATGGCACTTGTATGGGCCAACCTGAGCCAGGCTAGTGGCCCACAGTTCCAAATGGCATTTGCATGGACTGGCGCAACCTGGGCTGGGGGCCCACAGTGTCAAATCCCCCCATATATTAAAAAAAATCATAATAGTAAAATTGAAAAAAAAAGAATAGGCAACTGTGCTGGCACACTGGTACAGTTAACACAAATTTGGCATTAATCAGGTCCACGATGCCAACCAGCTGTTGGCTGCTTTTCTCCCAGCAGTGTAACACTTGCCTAGGTACAAGGCAGCCTAGACCATTGCCTACAGCTAGGGTTTAAGATTTATGTATTTGAAAAGCAGAGTGATAGAAACAGAGGGAGAGAGACCCTCCATCTGCTGCTCTGCTCCCCAAATGCCTGCAGACGTGGCTGATTCTGGGATATCGGAACTCCATCCAGTCTCCCGTGTGGCTTGCAGGGAGTCAAGGACTTGGGCCACTGACTACAGCTGGGACTTGAAAAACAACGCTGTAATATGGGGTGCAGGCACCCCAAGTAACAGCTTAACCCATTCTGCTTCAGCACTTGTCCCATCAAGGTTCTTATGTCAGAAAGAAAAATGTTGAAAACAGTATGAGAGTTCCTCAGAAAATCAAGCATAGGATTACTATGTGGTCCACACATTCCACTTCTAGTTATATTTCCAAAAAAAAAAAAAAATCAAAATAGGATCTCAGATACTTACACACTCATTTTCATACCAATATTATTCATAATAACCAGAAAGTAGAAGCAAGTTATGTCCTTTAATGGCCAAGTGGATAAAAAATATATATATGGCAGGCATTATGGTGGCATATTAACCTACCACTTGTGACCTCAGTGTACCACATGAGCACCAGTTTGGGTCCTAGGCTTCTCTACTTCCAATCCTGTGCCTGGAACAGCAGCAGCAGATTGCCCAAGCGCTTGGGCCCCTGTCACCCGTAGAGATGGCTTGTATGGAGTTCATGGATTTGAACTGGTTGAATCCTGGTCGTTAAATCTTTTAAAAAGTAAGGGAGAGATATACAGCAAATTACTATACATTCTTAAGGGGGAAGAGAGGGGTGGGGAAACCCCAATGACTATTAAAGTGTGTCATAAAATAAAGAATTAAGAAAAAAAAAGAGGGAAGAGAATGCTGTCATATGCTACAATGTGGATGAACTTAAGGAAGTTGAGGACGGCCCAAAGCTTTGGGACCCTGCACCCGCATGGGAGACCCGGAAGAGGTTCCTAGCTTCGGATCGGCATAGCATCGGCCATTGCGCTCACTTGGGGATGAATCATCAGACGGAAGATCTTCCTCTCTGTCTCTCCTCTCTGTATATCCGCCTTTCCAATAAAAGTTAAAAAAATAAATAAATAAAAGTTAAAAAAAATTTTATTTTCTTTATTTAGAAGGTAGAGAGAATGAGATATTCCATCTGCTGACTGACTTCCCAGGTGGTCTCAATGACTGGGCCAAACCAAATTCCCAAGCCAGGAAATCCTTCTGGATGTCCCACATAGGTGGCAGAACTCCAGACATTTGGACCATTCTCTACTGCCTTCTCGGCACATTAGCAAGAGCTGGATCAGAAAAGGAGTAGCCAGGGCTTGGACTGGCACTTTGATGCAGAATGCTAGAGGTGGTAAAAAGTCTACAGGTAGTCTCTTGGTGGAGAGGAGTATAGAGACAGAGCAAGGCCTTAAGAACTTGAGTTTGGTTAACACAGTGGGAACAGGTGGAAACTGAGGAGCTCAGTGGATGCCAACAGAATGCACTAATGAGCAGAGGCTTGTGGCATTGAAGGTGGAGACAGAAAGTGTTTGGAGGAAGAAACAATTCAGAAATCATGATGATCCATTTTGTAGAGAGGGATTTGAGGTGCTGACAGTATAGACAAGTGTAAAAAATCACCTGGTAATGGAAACACAAGCGTGTTGCAGAGGACAGAGGAAATATTAGAAATGACAGTTGATGGGTCCAACACTGTGGAGTGGCAGGTAAAGCTAGTGCTTGCAGCATTAACATCTTGTATGGGTGCTGGTTTGATCAAGCTCTCAACTAATGAACCTGGGAAGGCAAAAGCAGATGGTTCAAGTCTTGGGCCACTGCACCTACATGAGACACTCAGATGATGTTCCTGACTCCTGGCTTTGGACTGGCCCAGCTCTGGCCTTTGTGGCCTTTTGCAGAGTAAGCCAGTAGATGCAGGATCTATTTCTTACTCCCTCTCAAATAAATAAATAAGTCTTTAACAAAAGAAAGAAAGGAAGGAAGAAGAGAAAGTCATGAATTGTAGAAAGGAAGGAAAAAAGCAAGGAAGGAAGGAAGGAAAGTCATGAATTGTATCTTTAACAAAAGGAAGGAAGGAAGAAAAGAAAATCATGAATTGTAGGAAGGAAGGAAGGAAAGTCATGAATTGTTTGCTCCTAGGTAGTGCTTATGAAAGAAAGAAAAGAAAGAAAAGAAAAGAAAAGAAAGAAGGGAGGGAGGGAGGAAAGGAGGGAGGGAGGAAGGAAGGAAGGAAGGAAGGAAGGTCATGAATTGTTTGCTCCTAGGCAGTGCTTATGAAAGAAAGAAAGGAAGGGAGGGAGGAAAGAAGGAAGGAAGGTAGGTCAAGTCATGAATTGTTTGCTCCTAGATAGTTTTTGGGCACCCACAGAGGAATGGGAGGAAGAGGAGGAAGGCCCACCAGCCCTTACGGAGCCATGGGACCAGTGTTTCAGGACAAAGAAGTGTTTTACCTCGCACAGAAGGAAAAGCCACTGGATTTGGAAACTGAGAAGCCCACACCTTGTGTTGAGTGAAAGTTAGGCAGTCTGAGGCCACGGTGGTCAGCGCAGGATGTAAAATCACTAGTGACACTGCTCTCTGAAGGGAAGGAAGTTGGAGTGAGTCAGGAGTGAATAGGGGAGATAGAAGGATCAAGATGCCAGGGTAAGGTTCTCATGTAAGAATCATTTGGAAATCGTTCCAGAGCATCTGGATGTCATCATGCTAGATGCAGGAGAGCAGTCTTGAGGGACAGGGATGCTGTTTGAAGGAGTAGGATGCTGAAGACAGCAGAACTTTTAGACCTCAAGTCAGAAACAAGACAAAGCAGAGAAGGAAGATAGTTTTCACTGGGAAGACCTTCATCTTTTAATGAGTAAAAAGCAGTGCCTTGGGGTCTCAGCAGTCCCTGAAAACACCAAGGGGTGAGGTGACAGTGCTCTTCTGGAGCAGAAATACTGGAAACAAACTGGTGGTGAAGAATGTCCACATATTTGAGAGAAGTCACAAGCTTGTGTAGGAGAAGGGGACAGGTAGAAGGGCAATCCTGACAGTACAACAACATTGTGATTGGCTAACAGATATGTCTATCTCTTCTAGACCCTCCAATGAAGTTAAAGGTCAGGAAGCACAGGAAATTGTATCTCGGGTCAGGCTTGTAAATGCTGAAAAGTAGGATGAATGCAACATTTAACTTCCTAGAGTTGTTTACAAAGGAAGTCCAGCCCATGGTGGATTCCTACACCTTGTTGCAGTATTACAGTTCAAATTCAGTTAAGATTCTTTCATTGCAAACATATACCAAGCATAGAGTCCAGCATCTTATTGTCCAGATAAATCCAACAGTTTCTTGAGGAGACCATCTCTGGTCTGAAGGCAGAACTGGCAGAATATCATCCCGATCAATTAAAAGCCACAATACAACATCAACAACAATTTGCCACATTATGGAATAATTTGACTTGATATTGAGTAACCAATATGTTAAAAAATTCTTAACCACATCCTGTGACTACAGTGGCAGGGGCACACAGGGCCCAAGAACAGCATACGGAAACACCTGGCATATGGTTTTACAGTGGGATTTGGGGAACCAGCATGGAATTCTCTAGAATTAGAGTTGCAGATTTTTGTGTATAGATGCATATGCGTATTGTTTTTTCCTGGAAGGAGGGTTTGTAAAGGGGTATAAAGTTCCTGAAAGTTAAGAATGAACTTATGTAATGAGTTTGCCCAAGTGGACCACTCTGGTGCTGCTCCCCCCGTAGACTAACCAGGGTGCATGTGCTGCCCACCTATCCCTTGTACATAATCGGGGTTCTTGTGCCCCTTCTTGTGGTCTTGTGGTGCCACTCTGGGTGGCATCTGGAAACTGGGTATGTTCATTCATTGGTTTCCCCAGCTATTTCCTTCGAGCCACCATCAGCCGCCGCCTCAATGATGTTGTCAAAGAGATGGATATCGTAGTTCACACGCTCAGCACGTACCCAGAACTGAACTCATCGATCAAGATGGAGGTTGGCATTGAGGACTGCCTACACATTGAGTTCGAGTATAATAAATCCAAGTAAGTGTCCCATGTCCCAAGACAAGTTGAGAGGATTGAGGGAGATGTGACTGAGGCATTTCATGGTAGCATGCCATGGAGGCAGACCACATAATGTGAATGGTAAAGGTGTGTGTTCAGCCAGTTATAGATAGATTGAAGTCAAAAGAAGTTTTTAAAATCCCAGACGACTGTGTTAAATTATACTGTATATTTAAGTTCAACACCCTGGGGTATCTTTCAGCCTGCATTAACTTTAAGGGTTATTTGATTGTGATTCTTGGTATAGTTGTTTTCTTTTGACGAGGCCAATTTCAGAACACCACTTATCTCATGTTTCCCCTCCACACAGACGTATTTAGCAAGCAAGGGGCGGAAAGCAGCCACTGGCCCTAACTTTGCTGCTTCCTCCCTGAACTGTATGAACTGTCGTAAAGGATACCGGATGCACTGTCGTAAAGGTTGAAAAAGTATCCTGTCTCATCAGGAAGCCATCTGTTTTAAGCTGTATTTTGTATTTGAATTTTAAATCCTGTAGCTGCTGATAAATCACAGTCTGATGGTTCAAAAGTATCTATTTTAAACACTTACCTGAAAATGTTTGGAGATAAAATATCTAAAAGTTGAATAAGTATTCTATGCAAAGGGAGCTTAAAAAAATCCACAAAAATTACCTAATCAGGGTTCATGTGCTGCTCCCCACACCCCCAGACCTAACCAGGGTTCATGACTGCCCCCCAGACCTAACCAGGGTTCATGTGCTGTGCTCCTGTAGCCTTCCTAGGGTTCATGTGCTACCCCTCACCCCCTGTACTTAACCAGGGTTCTTGTGGTGCCCCTGTAACCTAACCAGGGCCCTGTGGTGCCACTGTAATGCTTTCTCATCCAGAGGCTGTGGGTAGTTGGAGCTGAGCCAGATGGCTTACCTTTTCAGGCACTGAGAGTTTGTTTCTTGTTTTAATTGGGAACATACTTAGTCCCTGAAATAGCCCCTGTCCACCTGGTCCAGTAAATAACCAGAGCACCCAGCACCGACCCTCTTAGCCTGGCCTAGTAAATAACCACAGCACCCAGCACCGACCCTCTTGGCCTGGCCCAGTAAATAACCAGAGCACCCAGCACTGACCCTCTTGGCCTGGCTCCACGTGTGGAACTGGACTTGGGCAAGCTGAAAGGAAGGCAGATCTGGACCTAGCAAGGGTGCAGCCTTCTTTTCCTAACTGTCCGGGTGCTCAGTATGGCTTTCTTAATGCCCAACCAAGACGAAGACAGCAGTGCTACCTCTAAGAGATTTTAACAGTCATTAAAAGTATACCCAAGCCCAACTTTGAAAGATGCCTCTTAGAGTTAGTTATAAATGGTCAGGGGCCACATCCTTCCAGGCTGCCTCTCTCCTTCATAGCAGGCTGCACTGTGTGAGCGTATATACATTGTATGTAATAGAAAAAACCCAAGACTTAGACTCAGATCTTCTGGTATTAACAAGTTGCTCTAAAGTTTCTTCTAACTTTTTTGTGCCTTGATTTTTCATCTGAGAAATGAGGGGCTTTAACTGAGTGAATTCAAACAAAAGCACAGGAAACGGGAGGTGAGACAACCAGGCTGGAGTCCCGATGCCCTCTGCTTCCTTTCAGTCCAAAAGCAGGTCTTCTGGCTCATATACGCTGCTGTGTCTGACAGTCCCTGGAGCCTGTGGTCTCCCAGCATCCCCCGTCAACTGCTGCTGGTATCTATGCAGTGTCTGCAGTCTTACCCATCAGCTGAGCAGAACAGATGTGAAGTGGGAGGAAGCATGCGAGCTGAGGAAACTGGATTCTGGGTTCACCTCCTGTCTCTGTCCTAGTTATGCTGTAGTCGAGTTATCCTCTTCCAGATTTCCTTTTCTTCTATAGCATGAGGTGGCTAAATGCCAAAGTCCCTGCCAGCACTTGATATTCCATGAGCTTCAGGTTTGAGCACTTTGTCCTCTTTGTTCTTGCCTAACATAAGGCTTGCACATACAGACCGACTGTTGACTGACCCAGAGAAAATAATCTAGTGCCTCTGGAAACGTTGTGCAATGGGATGAAACTGGAAACAGCTCACCAGGCCTAGAGAACAGGCCCTGAGGCAGCAGGACATCAGCTCATCCCACACTCCTTCCCCTGCCTGGCCTGTTGGGCCAAGGCACACAGGATTGTTTGCTGCAGTAGGGTCATGGAGCTGTGATAGGGATATGACTCACCTAGCTTTGAGTGGGCAAGACCTGGGAAACCATTTTACTAGAGCAGCACAGGTAGGGACCCCGGGGCTCTGCGCCATGCTATACCTGGACATGCATGGCTGTGATGGTGAGGAGCCAGCCACTGTAGCAGCACCCTTCTTCCTTCGTCTTCCTCAGATACCACCTGAAGGATGTCATTGTAGGGAAGATATACTTTCTACTGGTGAGAATCAAAATCAAACATATGGAGATAGACATCATCAAGCGGGAGACCACGGGCACTGGCCCCAACGTGTACCATGAGAATGACACGATAGCCAAGTACGAGATCATGGATGGGGCGCCAGTGCGAGGTAAGGCCCCTGCCCAGGCCCTTGCACGCAGTGTGGGAACAGCCAGAGGGAGCACGTGGTTGAAGAAAGGTGTCCTGTTGACCCGTGCTTTCTTAGTCTCTGCACTGTGGATGCCAATGAAGCAGGAAGAATCACTGAGGCTTCTACCCCATCTTTGTCGGGAAGAGCTTCACTTTGCTCTCCTTTACATTCCGGGTTGGTGCTTGACATTTAGTCTTGAGTCCTAACTCTTTTTTAAAATTCCATGTGAAGAGTCTCTGTTTGCCAGAGGCTTAAAAAGTTTACATTTTTACATTGACATGTTGACATTATTTCTGGCTTCAGAATAAGAGGTGCATGCACAGAAATTATTTTTGTTTCTTAGCTCAGATGGGGGTGATTCGTTCTCTGATTATATTCATCAAGTGTGAAAGAACTGGCCCACACTACCAGGTGTGCACACAGCAAAGGAAGCTCAATGTAAATGGTCCCTCCTCACCCTCTAGAGCTAGCATCACATCAGAGGCGAAGGGAGAGGGCAACTTTTTGTTTGCCGGCAACCAGCTGTAGTTATTTTGGGATAGCAGTCACTTTTTTTTTAAAGATTTTATTTATTTATTGGAAAGTCAGATATACAGAGAGGAGGAGAGACAAGGAGGAAGACCTTCCGTCAGATGATTCACTCCCCAAGTGAGAGCAACGGTCGATGCTGTGTCAATGCAAAGCCAGGAGCCAGAAGCTTCTTCTGGGTCTCCCATGCTGGTGCAGGGTCCCAAGGCTTTGGGCTGTCCTCGACTGCTTTCCCAGGCCACAGGCAGGGAGCTGGATGGGAATTGGAGCTGCCGGGATTAGAACCGGCGCCCATATGGGATCCCGGGGCGTTCAAGGTGAGGACTTTAACCGCTAGGCCACGCCACCGGGCCCAGCAGTCACTTTTGTTCCTTACTGGCTGCATAACATTTGAGAAATATCCCCTCATTTTGAAGTGTTCGATGTTTGCAGAGTTTGACTCCGTTTATTCGGCAGCCTGATCTATGAGGAGAAAGCATGTCAAGGATGCAGCAGCCTGAAGAGCTAGACACTCGCATCGGGTTCCTGGCCCTCACCACGCCAGGCCTTGGTGGGCAAACAGCTCTCCAAACTCTCTCAGGTTCCGTTTCTCTCACCATGTGTGCACCCACATCCAGCTGTTGTTTTCCCTGTACAACTGAAATGGGGCATTGAGAAATAACATGAAACAGCAGATAACTAAAAGATCATTTATATCTAGCTTTGGATGACCTTATAGTTTGGCCTTGCTCAGTAGAATTACTGCCCTGGTTTTGTTCCTCTACAGAAAAGAAACAGGAAAGAAGTGACCTAAAATATCACACAGTCCACAGAAAGAAGCAGACTGACTCAGGAGTCTGATTGTTGGAGAACAAGGGACAGAACGAGGAATTTGTTTCCTGCTGTACCTTCTGTGTTGGCAGCAGGACTGCACTTCAGGGGCACACATATTCGGCTGCAGGGAGTTGGCATTGGCACTGAGACTGCGGGGTAGCATGGTGGGTCAGCGGGGGCTTGACAGTTACCTCCTGAAGACCTACTAACTAGACCTATTGCCTGTTGTCAGTGGTGCTTCATAGAGGTGTCCCTGTGCAGTGCACGTGGCCGCTCCTCATTGTTCTCAGTACGATGGCGCAGAGAGGACGCTCAGGGGCCACAGGACCTGGACTAAAGTCCTGTCACATTTCTGCTTCAGCTGACTGCTAGGGTGCAAAGTGCACCTTCCGTGGAGACATGGGCATTCCTGCTAGGGAGCAGAGTGCAGCCTTCCGGAGGCACGGGCATTCCTGCGAGGGAACAAAGTGCAGCCTTCTGCAGCCATAGGCATTCACTGTGGTGTGGCCGGCTGTAGGCCGGTGGCATCCCACCTACTGTGCTCAGAGTGGGTCACTCTGCCCCTTGTTCTGATTCCTTCTCTGCTCCCAACAGGAGAGTCCATCCCGATCCGGCTTTTCCTAGCAGGGTACGAGCTCACACCCACCATGCGAGACATCAACAAGAAGTTCTCTGTGCGCTATTACCTCAACCTGGTGCTGATAGATGAGGAAGAACGACGCTACTTCAAGCAGCAGGTGAGGCAAGGGCCACTGCTCCAAACCCCTGGCTGCCCTGGGGACACAACAGAGAGGCTGCCATTCCTGTGAGAGGTCAGGTTCCGATTCCGACAGACCAAGCAGAATGGAGCAGCGAGGAAGCTTCTAACCTAAGTCTATGTCACTTGCCATGGCAAGAGATGGTAATGTTAGGTTAGCCAGATTTCCACAGCAAAAATGAAGCTCCTTCTTGATACCCAGAATCTGTTTTCTGGAGCTTCACTGCTGTAACCACCCTCATCTTGTGGCCCATGGTAAGGACAGGAAGGAATCAGCAGCCACGGCCTCTGGCGAGAGAGCAACAGAGTTCTTTTATCCAAGAGTTTCCAGGACAAAGTTGGGAGCTTTTGGGGAGCCCCCTTCCCTACCTCCTCCTCAAGTGTTGCATTGTCCCCTCTCCCTGATCTGCAGGAAGTGGTATTGTGGCGGAAGGGTGACGTCGTTCGCAAGAGCATGTCCCACCAGGCAGCCATTGCCTCACAGCGCTTCGAGGGCACAACCTCCCTGGGTGAGGTGCGGACACCCAACCAGCTGTCTGACAACAATAGCAGGCAGTAGGCCCCCAGGGCCAGAAGCTGCTGGGCTGCACCTCAGCACCCCCATCTACTAAACACCAGCAGCTGGGGGAGGGAGAGCATGGGGTGAGACTCAGCTGACTGCTACTGGCAACCTGAAAACAAATCATGTTTTTGACTTTATTTTCTCTGGAGGACCTAAGGGGCATGGGTGGGGAAGCAGCCTCCTTACGATTCCACGGCTGGTAGGGGGTTGGGTGGTACAGCGTTCCAGAGGAGTCAGCCTTCTGCTAAGGTCCTCCTTGTGGGGTAACCTCCTGTCTTAACAGAAGGAAGGCAGTAAGCATGCATTCTTGTCTCCCGGCTGTTGGAGCTTCCTAATTCAGGGTCCACAGTTGTCCCTGGGATTCTGAGCCACCCATGGGGCCCTGGGTGGTCACGTCCTATACTTCCCTCTGCTGTCCCCGAGGCAGTGGCAGAAGGAGGTGGGTCTCCCCTTCCTGACTTGTTGGGGGACGGGGAGCCTCAAGATCGGGAAGCTACCTCTTTGGGAGTTTGTATGTGGTGCTTTGAAGTCTCCACAAGCCACCTTCCTTCTGGCCTCCCTCTGCGGGGACCCGGGCACATGCCTTCTCCACCTTCTCCGGATCGTCGCTAATGTCCTGGGGCAGAAGCCAGGAGAGGGATCCTTCACCCAAAAGAAATGCAGCAGCGTGAAGCCCAGGATGTGCAGCCAGACGCCCTGCGGAAGAAGGGGTCAGTGCACAGCAAGTGTTGCCTTCACTGTGTGGCCGCTCCACTTGGGAACCTCCCAGTCCGATGGTTAAGGAGTACTGCTTGTTGTACCCCAACAACCCTAAACAGGATGGTCTGTCTTCTGTAACAGATCCTAGGAAGGGGCTGTGGTCCCTTGGTCTCCCAAGAGCAGACCCTCATCGCTCTCTGCCCTCATTTCACTTCTTGGATTGGGGCTTGCAGAGTTTTCTGTTCTTAACTCCCACCTCAAGCCCCTGCACCCCTCAACCTGTAAAGTTAAGGGAGGGAGATGGGGGCCTTGGCTGATGATTCTGCCCGCCCAACTTCTGAATAATTATGCTTGCCAAATTCTGTCTTCATCTTCCTCAGCTGACTGACCCAAGTCTGTAAACATTGGTATTTTTCATTTGAAAACACATGAAGCAAACAATCTGGTATACTTTGTTATGCTAGACAGGAAGGCACTTTTCCCTCTGTTCCTCTGGGCTTGGGCCTTGACTCCTAAAGTTGCTAATAATCCTTTTCTGCACCACCTTGGAATGGCCAGGAGTCACCCTCCTTTTGGCCTTTCTTTTCTTATAGAAAGGCCAAGCTGACCTGCTGGACAGGAAGTCCAATATTTGGCGGTCTAAGTTTGCAGTAATTTGGAAAGTACACAGGTTGGTTCCTGTGTTGTCTTTCCATTAGTGCGGAACTTGAGGATCTCCCCTTTTCTTTAGGAATCAGGGTTGGGCTCTTGGATCAGAGAGGAGACTTGGTTGGGACAGCCTTGGGCAATACATGAGGCTGGGGGCAACAAGGGCCTGTTCCTCCACATTGGGCCAAATTCAGCCGCGATACACAATCTCTGGGGGACGGAAGCATACATCCTGCTGCCGTCGGTGACCGAGGCAAGACTCGAATGTAGGAAGGAGGCGGGTTCTGTGTGCCCTGGCCTTTTCAGAGTCCAGGAGCCTTCCTCTTAATTGCTGGTATTCTTCACTAGAAAACACTTGTCCATTCCTCTGCCTACCAACTGACAACATAAGCTCTTCGTCCGGCTTCCCTAACACTTTCAACCTTTCTCCGGGGAGAATTAGAATATAGAATTGCTTTCTCTCAGGAGCGGTGTACAAGCCAGGTCTTTTGTTTTCTTGTACTCTACCCCCATTCTACTTGTCTGTCCAACTGTGAAAGTGAGGGGAGCCTTCTGCCCCACCCTCCTTTAAGGTCCCCGTTCCTGGGAGGGCTTAGGTACTAAACCAAGCAGTGCAACTTGTAATTAAGCAGCTGCAGTGTTTACATGTTTCTTAATGTGTTGTCTTTTCAATGGCTGTATTTAAAAGAACACCTGTTTTAATGGTCTAATTAAAGGAGGCCCCTGTGGCTTTGGAAGCATTGTGCCGGTGGTCCACCAGGGTCGTCTCTTCTGTCTACACTGTCCCATCTCTGACACTCCAGAAAGACAGACATGTGCCCTGACTCTGGCAACAGTACCTGCACTCTGAGTGAGTGACGGGGAGTGCCCTGGGAAGTAGAAGAGAAGCAGTTTTACCACTGCTTGACAGCTTATTTTGAAACCATTCATGGTTTAAGGCTCTGAGGATCACAGATGGCTTCAGGAGCAGGTGAGAAGGACTGTCGTGGAAAGACCAACCATCAGTTACAGTGGCTGATAACATCCCAGGATAACACAGGTTCCATACCTGCGATTTGCTGCGTCACCACTGATAATAGTGAAGGAAGATGGCAGAGGTAGTCTTGGCATCTTGTGGGGCAAAAGAAGCCAGCCCAGACTATTTTAGAAGATCAGCTTTCCAATTTGAGTGTTTTATTGAAAACAAGTCACCAAACCCACATAGGTACACAGCAGCCCACAGGGGAATTTATGCAACAGTCTCACATCTTCTACCTGACTTCTCTGGAGTCTTGCCTGTGCCCGCAACGTGTCTTAGTTAACTTGGTTCCTTCTCCTCCAGGCTCAAAATAAAATTAAACTCTTCTACCAGAAAGAGAAGAAAGGAGGGGAAGAATTAGGGCTTATGTTACCGGACACCAGTAGGTGTTTTATCCATGAGACAGAAGCAATGCTGCTGTTCTTTCAGAAACCACCAAGTTACCAAGTGCCAAACACTGCTGGGTACTGCATGTACAGCTACAGGTAACTTGGATATACTCTCTCCCTGTGGCTTTACAGGTGACGACCCGCGGAGGTTAACACCCTGCCCAAGTAAGGATTCCCAGGGTCATTGCGGTGGTAGGAGCATAAAGCCCAGGCCCTGGCTGTTACCTTGAGTCAGGGGCTGAACTGACAGTCTCTGGCGAGTGAAGAGAGCCATGTTTTTTAAGGGGCCACCAGTGACCTTGTGAGCTTGGTGATAGGTTTTGAGCTCTGCCAGGGGGATGAAACGCTTCATCATCCGAACAAACTGTACATCCACCTACGTGACAGAAGCATACAGAACAAAGACTCATCCAGCTGTTTGTACTTGTCCTGCTTACAGAAAACAACTAAGGTCAGGGTTGTACCCAAAGTTAGAAAAACCTTTAAAGGGCAACAAATGCACTGTGTTCCTTGACATGACAACACCTGGCCCTCTCCCTCCCTGCTTTGTCCAGTCTTCCCTTCACATGAAATAAATAGGAACAGTCAGTCTTTACCATGGACCATTTGGGGTTGTCCTCTTTGCTGGATGGGTCATAATGGGGACTGCTTTTCTCAAACTGTGTGTGGTCTGGGTAAGCCTCCTTCACAATCTGAAACCAAACCAAAGGGTCCAGTCATTTATCTGTACAACCCGTTGCATGGCCAACTTGAATCCACATCTACCCTTCACTTACCACCCTGCACATGGCTATTGAGCCCATGGCTGCTGAGATGACTGAATATAATACATAGTTTAAGGCAAGTAAAGTTCCAAAATCAACCTTGGTTTTATAAAAGTATAGAAGTATATCCTAAAACCAAATGGTATATGTCCAGTATTGGAACCACTGGTTTTTCCCATCTATGGATTTTAACAATTTTATGCAGATACCTTTTAGCTTGGAGGAACTATCCCATCGAGCCTATTTTTAAAATGAGAGACCAAAGCTTAGACCTGCAGAGAAATCTTGTGTTAATGGGGTCTGAAAGGAAGGATGGTCTTTTCCAATCCCTGTCCTCTAGGAAGGGGCCATAGTTTTCCTCTGTGCCACATGTCAGTTTTTCCCCATGATTTGCTGTGAAAGGATATAAAAAGGAGGGTACATATTTTTCTGTTAACTAATTTAAGCCTCTTAAGTACTATACATATATATCTTCCTGGAGGGAGAGAGACTGAGAGCAGAACCATCAACTAACCTTCATAAGTCCTGCGATGCCCGGTTGTTTGCAGTTGCTGTGATAGAAGAAGGCTTCTTGTTCCAGTTTCATGGCTCTAAGGAAGTTCCGAGCCTGTCCCAGGGCAAGATAAATAAGAATTCTCTTTCCCTGCTAAGTTTTAGCAAAAACAAAGTCTGCTTTTTAATAGTTGGCTTTTTCTGTTTTGCAGCCTGCCTCCAATTCATAATAAAGATGCTTCTGCTCTGCCAGTTCCATACAGGCAATGTCACTAAAGTATTTATGAATTCTTTCTTATTATTAGGTTTGGATTCTGAGAAAAACCAAACGGTGCAAAAGGTTTCATTGTGGAGTAAGTCGTGACAGGGCAGGCATCAGTCCTGTCATGGGGTTCTAGGTCTTGGGCGCCCTGTCTCTTACCCTCTTACCTGGTAGTTGCGAACACCATCCCAGCATGCTGTCTGCTTGGGTTGTGCTTTGAGATCCTCAATACCAAACTAGGCAAAAAGAAATAAAGTCCTTCGTCAAGCAGTGCTGGGCCATCTGTAAGCACAGAGCTCTGGCCTCTACGTTGAGAGGTACTGACCATAATACAGGGTCATTTAGTGCAATGCAGGTCCACAGACTCCCTGATGCCGGGTGGACAGAAATAAGCTGTGCTATGTTGTCATCCTTGGCAATTAAGAGAATCAGTTGAATGGATAAGCCACATATCCTACTCGTTATATGCATTTCACTTATTAAAGTACTATCCATCTCTTCTGGAATTTTTCTACTTTTATTTTTTCCCAAGGCTATTATTAAAATAAGTGTATATATATTTCCCACATGTAAAGTGGTATGCGTGGATTCTGTGTGGGCAGGGACACACCTGGGAGCAAGACAAGTTGTAAGGGAACAGCTATACCAACTTTGAGGTTAGAAGGTTGTAGCTTTCCGGTCAAATTAGCTCCTGCTGGACTCTGTAAATAAAGTTTTACCTGAACACAACCACAACTGTTTGCTTATGTTCCCTCTTAAATCTACTTTTTGCTACAAGGGCAGACTTTCAGCAAAGACTCTTAAGACCCAAAGCCTGGCCTTTTGCACAAAACTTCTGCCTCCCTCTGCCTGGACATGAAACAAACTCCCCAAAGGCTTTGAACACCAACAAAAGCAGAGAAGTCAAGTCTGAAACACTTCCAACCCCATGCACTTCAGATGAGAATCAGTTGATAATAATCCTGATTTCTTTTTTTCACTTTAGTCCTTCAGACCTCAGCAGCTGGTGGCAGAACCCTGCAGTGCTCCCATCTTAAGGGACCGTAGTACAGTCTCACCTTCACGTCCACACCTTTCTCCAGCCGGCTCTCTGGCTCTGATTTCATGAGCCAATGGCTGCTTGGAGCCTTCTCACGGTTTGTAGAGGCTTTCTCGGGGCTTGTGCTGTCCACCTGATCTGAGGCCTCACCTGAGTTCTCAGTTCTGGAACGTTTCTCAGATCGCTTCTCTGCAATGGGAGAAGGGAAAAAATATCCATCATGCTTGCTGACAAGTGTTACACATGGACAAAAGCTTAGGTTCTGCATCAAGCTTGAATTCAGATCCTGGTTCCACCAATTACTATCGCTACCACCGCAACCTTACAGATAATCCGATTTAAAAAAAAAAACTAGCAAGAATATGCACTCTACAGAATACCTTCTAGATTACCTTTTCACTAACATTTTACAAGGCTGTTTAGGTTCTTCCTGGCAGCAGTTGATAAATGGTTTTCTTCGCTCTCTCCATTGACTGAGGAAACTCAGAGGCTTGGAGTTTTAAAAATGCAATAGGATAACACATTTATGCAGTGACTAGCGCTGTAATTTCCAATGTTAACCACTACTACCATCTCATACTTGTTTCCTTGCACACCATGCTTCTTGGCCTTTCTGCTCCTTAAAGGTACAGAGAAGCTGGGAAAATTCAGGACCTTGTAGACATGGTTAACACTTTCATTCTGAGAGAATTAGGGGACAAGTACTTAGACCCAACAACTAATACTTGTTAAGTTTTTGCTGTACGATGGGCCCCAAGCTCTCAGCTACCCTAACCCTGGTCTGACTAATCTGCATAACCTATGAGATGTTCTGTTCTCCACCTGGAAAGCACTGCTGCTCCATCACACCTCCAAAATCAAGAGCCCGTTCCTCCTGTCTGGCTGGCTCCACTGACTGCCATGTCCTAATTTACAGTTTCTACAAGTCATTAAACATCTATGGATGTCTAGTGCTGTGAACTCGCAGCATGCCTCCCTAACCTGAACAGGTAACAAGTGCGTTGCCAACACCACGTGTTATTCAACAGACAGTTGGGCTTCAGCCAGTCTGAGGCCACGGCCCTGCCCTAGGGAGCCGCTGCTTTGTACCTTCTCTGTGTATGATACCCATCCTTCTGAGGATAAAAATGGCCTTTTCGCATTTCCTTCAAGGCTGGATTCAAATTCTCCTCCCTCTTAAAATAGCTGTAGGAAGTCAGCCTCTTGGACTCTGACTTGATTGCACCACATACACACACCGCCCCAAGGTACAAACTGCAGATTTACTTAAGTGTGTGCCACCCTGTACTGCCAGTGCACGTCAAGAAAGCAGCTGTTGAATGAAGAGTAGGGGGTACTGAGTAGCAAACTTGGCGGTAAGGATAAGCAAGGAGAGGGGTGATGGACTCAAAGATAAACCACGCAGGAGTCTGTCCACAAGCACGGAGCAGAGGTGAACACATCACAACAGGCCTTGGAAAGACTTTTCTACAGGGATGTTTTCTCGCAGCCCTGGTGCAGCTCACCTGGGCCTCCTCCAGCCAGCCTCTTCCGGGGTGTTGGCATGGTCTCCCAGCAGCGCGCTCCAGTGCAAAGGAGCTAGAAGAAGCAACTCTACTGCCCCCCAAAGCCCAGGATGAGCAAGATGGAGGCAAGGGTAGAACGCCCAAAGGGCCTCGCACTTGGGTGAAAACGCAGGCACCCGTGCTTCAGCCGTCCGGGACTCCTCAGTGCCCTCCGATCTTTCTTTCACCCCCCAGCGCGCGGGACGCCTGCGGAGCTGCGCGCCAACTGCACCGGCTGGGCTACAGGGAAGCCGAAGCGGCCGCCTGACGTCCCGCGGGTCTCTGGGAGTTGTAGTCCTCGCCCCCTCTTGGCAGTCTGGGGACTACAAGTCCCAGGATGCAATGGGCGAAAGGGTCGCTACCTCAAGTCCTGGCCAGCGCGGAGCAGCTCACTCGCGGGCTGGGCAGCTCTCGCTGAGGAGAAGCTGGAGCGATGCTGGGCGGCTGTCGACGGATCAGGGCGTTCCTGGGAAGCCTGCGTGGCGGTCTCCGGGCCCCCACCAGCCGCCGGAGCTTGATTTCTTGCATCGACCGTAAGGCTCGCCCTGGGCTGGGGAGGGACAGATGTCCGGGAGCCGGGCAGGCGTTGGCGAAGGGCCTCTGTCTCCTTAGGATGGTCATCTGGCCGAGAGCTCCCCTAAAATTCGCAGCCGCTCCCCACTCCGCTCGGTCCTGTCCTGTCACCCCTGGGCCAGCTGTGCCCGGTCACCTCCGAGCGGTCACTCCTGCGTCAGCTGCTACCGGGGCCGGACCCTGTGTCCCTGTCCCCTCTCCCTCCGTGGCCACCAGAGCCCCATCCGCAGCAGCCTTTGATGTAAATGTTATCAGGCGCCGGTATTTCTCTCTTGCAGTTCTTGGTGAAGATTAATTCCTTCGGTTAAGAGAGTGACCTACCTACCTAGTAGCTGGCTTCTTCGTGTGAGCCTATATTCTGAGAGCTTCTGCAAGAACTCAACAGGCAGAACTTGGAATGAACTAATGCCAGCGTCCTCGGGTTACACTGGAGATGTAAAGTTTCTCAGGAATTTCAAGCCCCTGTCGCAGAAACTATTACTCAGTGTACCTTAGACCCAGATTGGAGCTCACGTCTGCCATTCTAAGGGAAACAGCCCCTCTGACGGTCCAGTCTGTGCACACTGTCCGATCTGTGTACACGATCAGCCCGTGCCTGAGCTGATCACACACTGCTCATCCCTAACTGTGAACTAGAAGATTCGCTGCCTCTACTCCCCCCGGGGAGCATGGGAACGAAGCCCTGGCCACCTGGCTGCTTGCTCTGCACATTGCAATGAATTTCAGCTTTTCCCCACCAGCCTGTTGATGCGGCTTCCTGTGCTTTGGGGGCTCTGTAACAACTCTTCCAGCCAGATTTGGGGGCTGTTCTATAGCATTCCGTTCTATGCTCCTGGGCCAATTCCTCTGTCTCCTGTCTTCTGTCTACTGACCGACTCCCCAAGGGGCTGCAACCGGCTGGAGCTGAGCTGATCCCAACCCAGGAGCCAGGAGCTTCTTCTGGGTCTCCCATGCTGGTGCAGGGTCCCAAGGCTTTGGGCTGTCCTCCACTGCTTTCCCAGGCCACAAGCAGGGAGCTGGATGGGAAGTGGAGCAGCTGGGACATGAATGAGCAATGTGGTCAAGGCTGCCCTGCCATGCCCTGTTTTGCTTTTTAAAATAATCACATTAGGTCATTAAGATGACTTCAAATGATGGGTGCTGGTTGAGATAGATAAATAGAAGTTGCAGATGGGGTTGACGTGGCCTGCATTGCTGCGGGCACTGGCTGGAGTCCTGGTTGTTTCATTTTCAAGTCCAGCTCCCTGTTAATGGACCTGGGAGAGCAGTGGAAGCTGGCTCCAGTTCTTAGGTCCCTGCACCCACCACGTGGAAGACCCTGGTGACAGTCCAGGCTCCTGGTGGGCTTGAAAGAACAGTGGAAGATGGTTCAAGTAAGTACTTACATCCGTGTACCCACATGGAAGACCCTGGTGACAACCCGTGCTCCTGGTGGGCCTGGCTCAGCCCACGTGTCTCAGTCATTTGGGGAGTGAACCAGTAGATAGAAGATCTGTCTCTTTACTTCTCTCTCTGTAACTGTGGCTTTCAATTAAATCATTAAAAAGTCTTTAAGAAAAAAAGTTCAGATAGCTGAAGATTTGCTGATATACATAGATTTATAACTTAATGCCTGTAGTTATAACACACTTTTATTGTTGAAACTCCCATAGGAAAAATAACTATTATTGCAATTGGAAAACTGCCAGGGATCATAAAACTGAATGTCTTTAGGCAGTAGGCAAATACACCATTGTAAATGGCTGGAAGTGCCAGGGCCCTAGGACACTCAAGGAGTGCCAGTTTATGACTTTCCTGTCAATCACCTCAGCACTGTTTTTCTTCTGGAATTTTAAAAACTTATTTTAAATAAATGATGCATTGCTTTATGGCAGAATGAGTTCCTTAGGATGACACCAAATCTGTTAAATGAACTAAAGTATAGAGTAAAATTCCTTCCCAAAGTAGTACCCAGCCCTATTACATCTATTAAGGTTTGGTTAACAAAGTCACCTTGACTGATACCACAACAGAATTCAGCAATAACATGTTCGTGTTCTTAGCGTGTAGGTCATCCTTCTGCGAATGAAACTGCATCTCTGCTACCCTGACACTGCTGTGTGGCATATGCTCAAGGAATGTTTACACCAGCATTTTGACAAAAATAAACAAATAATGACCTGACCCCAAGCCAAGGAACAGTGGGTTGTTTATCCCTACCCATATTCCTGACTGAAATGATCTGGGCTGCTCAAGGTGGCCTCATTTGCAGTCCCTTCTCTTTATGTCTTGGTTTCATGTCTTGAGGAGAAGACAGAGGTGTTTTCTCCTGGCTCACACAACCAGCCTTTCAGGATACCCAGGTTTGCCTCCAAGCAGCGCACTCTGCCACCCGCACTGGGTTCTCCGGTCGGAAGATTTGAGCGTGGTCTGTAGGTACTGTCCAGTGCAGCCCCAGAACTTTCTTTGTCAGCAGCGCAGAGCCTCCACGCCTCCTCTTCCCGACTTGGGTTCTCAGTCTTCACTGCACCACAGCGCTTCACTTTGCCTCCCAGTACAGGCATGCGCTTCTTTCCAAGCAGCAGTGCCGAGACTCAACCAAAGAGACCTCAGTGCAGACGCTGTAGAGCTCTCTGCTGTGGACAGATGTGGACCTGGGCCGTGCTGGCCCTCAGAATGGCCTGTTGGCCTTTCTAGATGCTCATTGTGAGTCCCAAAGGGTGTCTGTTTCACAGGTGTTTTACTGAGATTCTTTATGGTAGCCTGCCACTGGGAAGGCTGCATCGCCTTATGCAGGAAAAAAATATTACAGGTCTTACATAGCTAGCTATTTGTAGGTAGCTTTCTCATTCACTCCTATCTTGTTGTGTATAGTCTTTGAAAAAGTGTGTAGAAAGCAAATTATTTGTCCGTGCCCTCAGATTATTCAGCTGATGGTATTGTGCATTGATAATAGACATAATTATCTTTTTCCCATTATGTCTTTGATTGAGTCTTATAAGTTTAAAGTTCCAGAAAAATTTGCCCAGTGTAGCTACACTACCTGCCTATCAGTATCATATCAGCCTGTCAGTTTCACTCTCCTCAGCTTTTGGATGTCTAGTTCTAGAAATTAATCAAAAAGCCTAAAGCACAACATTAATAATTAAAATAGAAACCCTTTTTTAAGATTTCTGATTTTACTGGGTGAGAACTTAACACTGAACAAGCATTTATTCATGTTTCACTTGTATAAGATTTTTTCATCATCAGTCTAAGTTAGCAAATATCTAAAGCTTACCAAATACAGTCTTTTTTTTACATGCTCTTTTCCTTAATTGTAAGCCAAAGTATACATATTATGATTGCCCTGTTGATCTTTTAAAATGGAGACATTGATGCAAAATCAGATGGGAGCCAGGTTTGCACAGATGGAGTAAGAACTTTTCAAGATATCAATACAGAAAGCCTAAGACTTTCCAAAGTGGGGAATGGTTACCATAACTTGAGAATCAGCATGTGTTTTTATACTTTAAAATGGATTATTAGAAATAGAGGATGTGAAAAAAAATGAGTAGATAAATGTCTTCAACCAGCCCAGTTGAGAGTAAAGGAGGAAGGAGCAAGTTGGTGGTGTTCGATCTCTCCCAGTTGGTCTGCATACTCTGTGGTCCTGTCTGTATCCCAGCTCTGCCTGCTTTCTTCCACTGTGACCTCCACCTGATTAGGACTCATTTTTTAGTAAATAGGTTAAAAAAAAAAGCCGGAAAAGTCACCAGATAACTACCATGAGTTGAGCTGGGTGTATGTGAGGACTTTCTCTTCTTCACAGGGGAAACTCACTAGTAACAGCTGGTGCCATCGTCTTGCGGTGGAAGGGCACTCCGTGTGTGAGGGGTGCTCCGGCTGGCCCACTGTCTCCACTCGATTGTGTGCTTCTTGCTGGCAGTACTCTTCTCTGATGTCAGTCCTAAAACTGAGTATGTGTACCTCTGCCCGTAGCTTCTGTGGGGCTAAATGAAGAACAGAAAGAATTTCAGAAAGTGGCCTTTGAGTTTGCTGCCCGGGAAATGGCTCCAAACATGGCAGAGTGGGACCAGAAGGTAGGCATTTTTTTGGGGGTGGCTAGATATCCTAACAAATGTTGCCTGTGGGGACCCTCAACTTGATTTCCTTATGGTGAGTGTCCATTCTCTACTCACCTACTTTTACTGCAAGCGAAAGGAGTGGGTGTTGGCAATTCCTTTTGTAGAAAGGAGCATTTTATAGATACCTGAGCATTTTATAGATACCTTGTTGTATAAATTGAACAGGATTTGTACTTACTTAGAAAAAAAAAAGCTATAGAACTTGTCCAGTATCAGAACAACAGTTCTCAGGAAATACGTGTTAGTTCATGCCACTGTAAGATGACGGAGAGGCATATTAAATAGAAAATCTACACGCCGTCCAAATGCAAGTCTCCCAGTCCTCATTGTCTTTTCTGAAGGAAAATCAATCCCTCCCTGACTTAGTCATTTAAAATCTTCCCCCTGTGTGTAGGAGTTGTTTCCAGTGGATATGATGCGGAAGGCAGCACAGCTGGGCTTTGGGGGAGTCTATGTGCGGACAAATGTTGGGGGATCTGGTCTGTCACGGCTTGATGCCTCTGTCATCTTCGAAGCCTTGGCAACAGGATGCACCAGCACCACGGCCTATATCAGCATCCACAAGTGAGTGTGCGGACTCGGAAGGCATCCCTGTGGGTCGAGTGGGGAAAGTCAGGCCCTTGGGAAAAGATTGCCCCTGAGGAGCTAGGACTGTCAAAAATGCACTCCGGGTCGGTCGCTGCCTGTCGGACTTGCTTCTGTTGTCTTGTTCTTTGCTGAGAGGATCTGATCGGCCTGCAGGCTTTCTCAGGCGCAGGCTGAGCAGGAACCAGCAAACTGCTCCTGTGTTGTGGTAAGGGTCCCATTATGAAACCTGCAGTAACCAGAAAGTAAGAAAAAAATGTGTGGAACTGTGCTTAGTAGGAGTTGCTTTGACCTGGTTGGAGGCAGAGCATCTGGTCTCCAAGCACTACCTGTTCTACACGTGTATTTGAATCCCGTCCTTCGGTTCCAGTTGAAGCTTCTCGGGACTTTTCCTTACTTTCTCTCCCTGATGCCCTTTGCTCTCTTCCCCCACCCCGATTTCCATTTTTCCTCATGACTTGTCTTCTTGACTTCTGTCAATTGTCTTTTCTCCTTTGCATACCCATCAGCATGTGTGTCTGGATGATTGATAGCTTTGGAAATGAGGAACAGAGGCACAGATTTTGTCCACCGCTCTGTACCATGGACAAGTTCGCTTCCTACTGCCTCACTGAGCCAGGTGGGTTTGCTACACTGTGGGGACCCCAGGCAGAGAAAGAGAGAGCTGGGAAAGTCGCCAGGTGTTCTTTCTCCCCTGCTGACTCACACAAGCACTGTTCACCAGCGTCACAGAGTAACACAGCCCCACGACCTGATGCCACAGGACTGGGAAGCCTCTGGTTACAGAACAGAGACTGAAAGCAGGCTGCTGGGAGATGGGACAGTGGTCGGAGCAGAAAGCCCTCTGGCCAGGCCCACTCTCAGCTGTTTCCCCGGGGGTGGTCTCCTGTGGAGTGGTGCCTTGACTCTGATAACCTTCTCATTCCCTCTGCTTCAGAAAGTGGGAGTGATGCTGCATCCCTTTTGACGTCGGCTAAACGACAAGGAGATCATTACATCCTCAATGGCTCCAAGGTACCAGCCAACTGCCCTCCCACATCAACTGGGCGATTGTCCCCATCTTCCTCCTGACATCTCCTGCTTCATAATTCCCATCAGATGTTTAAGTGTTACATTTCCCTTAATTCACACTCAACTCACTATTTCTCTTTTCTTAAAAAGATGTATTTCATTTTTTACTGGAAAGTCAGGTATAGAAAGAGGAAGAGAGACAAAGAGGAAGATCTTCCATCCGATGATTCACTACCCAAGCGGCCACTATGGCAGAGCTGCACCAATCCAAAGACAGGAGCCTGGATCCTCTTCCATGTCTGGGTCTCCCACATGGGTGCAGGGTCCCAATTCTTTGGGCTGTTCTTGGCTGCTTTCCTAGGCCACAAGCAGGGAACTGGATGGGAAGTGGGGCCACCAGGAATAGAACCAGCACCCATATGGGATCCTGGTGCATGCAAGACAAGGACTTTAGCTGCTAGGCTACCGTGCCAGGCACACACTCACTATTTCTTTCTCTTCTGATCTGATTCCTGATTCTTTCTTTCTGTTTTCTCTTTTTTTTTTTTTTTAAATCTCTCCTGATACTCTAATCAACTAAGTCCCCAGTTCCTGAATGACCACAGCTGTCTTTTACCCCTCTTTAGGCCCTTTGAGCAAATGTACCTTTGAGTGTCCTGTTGCTGAGAGGACCTCAGTGGTTTTCCCAGACATTGACTATTCCCCGATCGCTTTGCACCCCCATCTTCGACCCTGCAGGCATTCATCAGTGGTGCTGGTGAATCAGATATCTACGTGGTCATGTGTCGAACAGGAGGACCAGGCCCCAAGGGCATCTCCTGCGTAGTCGTTGAGAAGGGGACCCCTGGCCTGAGCTTTGGCAAGAAGGAGAAAAAGGTGAGTGATGACTAGACAAGAAGGAATTCAAATTATGAGACTGCCACCTGCTGAGACGACTGTATTTGTTTTTCTAATCTTTCTGTATTTGAAATTTCAGGAAATGGTTCACATTGGACTTACTAACTTGCCTTTGAGGCGGTTGCTTTTCTTGGGCTTTTCAATAGAGGCATATAAAAATAGAATGGGGCATTCTTAAAAAATATTGAGGACCTTTTGGGAAAGGCACAAAGTTAACTTGTAAATTCCATGAACCACCATTTAGTCACCTCTCTTACCCCCGATTCTGTCCTCTCTAACCTTGTATTACTCTGTGTGTGCGCGCATGCGTGTATGCCTGCACGCGTGCACCCCTTTTATCCCAGTAAAGATCCAAATAAGAAGCACATGAGTCACATTTCTTGTTTCAGTAAAAAAAAATCAAGTAGACTCATTGGAGGTGGCTGTGGATATTTCAGTTATATAAGAAAGACGATGTTTCTGAAGGTACTTAAAGTCAGGGATGCTTGAAGATGAGCTAGCGCCATAGCCGGACTGTGAACAGCAGGTCTGCCGTGGCACAGCCACAGTTGGGAATCAGAAGGCACCAGTGCCCACTGTGTAACTTGATTAGAGCTGTCGTACAGTTTGTGTTGTTGATTGTTAGGACTTTTGGGCAATAAAATGATTCCTAAATAAGCTTCTCCATCACAACTCTTATCTCCCCGTTTAGCAACGAGGGCCTGTTTTGTAGAATAGCAGGCATTTATTAGATACTTTCTGTGTGCAGAGCCTCCTGTATTTGTATTCCTGGGGAAACAAAGTTTTGAAAAAGTTACTGTTAGCATTGTTTCTTGGTCTTGTACCCAATGCCCAATGGGCCTTCAAACCCTCACACCCTCACACTTGCTTTTTCTGACACCTCACTAAGATCTCCGTCCTCAGTTTCCATCCAAGTCTACCCTGAGTAAGGCCACCGGAGGCCTCCCTGATCTTGCCATGTCTTACACTCCAGTAGCCTCTACCACAGTTTGAAAGCTGCCAACCCTCACCTGTGTGGTGCTTATCTGCGTTCTTCTATCTCCCTGGCTGGAATTTAAATACCTAAAGCCAAGGGTGCATCACAATAACCAAATATATAAAGCAGGGAAGATTGCAAAACATGTTTTTTCATCTACATAAGCACTCTCTAATTTTTAAAAGATTTATTTATTTATTTGAGAAACAGAGCAACTGAGCTTTTTGCCTGTTGATTGATTGCCTAAATGTCTGCATTAGTCAGGGCTGGCTTAGGCTGGACCAGCAGCCTGGAACTACTACTGCTTCTCCTAAGTAGGTTATGGGCTCAAGCATCGGACTGTCATCTGTTGCTCTCTCAGGCATGTTAGCAAGGAATTGGATTGGAACAGCTGGCACTTAATCCAGTGTTCCAATGAGATGTCAACATAGCGAGTGGTGGCTTAGCCAACCTTACCACAAATCCAGCTGTCTCTATTTCCAGAGCAGTAGGCATACATATATATATATATAATAGAAAATATAATATATAATATATAGAATAGACAATTAAAGGATTTCTTCATCCTAGGAGTATCTGTGTGGGATTGTAAGGTACATACTGATTTGCATTACCTGGCATAATTTTCCAGGAGCAAGTTGAACTGGTTCAGGTGTTTGTGTTTATTAAAGATACCGACAAATCTACTGCAAAACACCTCCTCTCTAAGAGTGCTCCTTTCATCTAACTATATATGTCCTTTCATTTTGGTTATTGTATTCTTTTAAATTATTAGCTCTGTTTGATATATTGTTGACTGTATGGAAAATGGTGAAGGACATCTCTCCATTTGTTAGACAACCAGCAAGTGCCCCCTGTGTGCCAAGCACCCCTCGAAGTTGTAGGAGTTAAGCAGTGAAACAAGACAGACATACTGTACACTAAGTGCACTAAGTGTAGATTGTACACCTTTAGTAAGCAGCATACGGAGAAGGTGGCTTCCTTTTGGTACTAAGCGTTGGGATGATGGGATTCTGATTGAGCAGGAGCTTACTTAGATAATAATGTTCTCTCTGAGGCCGTGACTTTTTTTTTCAAGATTTATTTATTTTTATTGGAAAAGCAGGTCTGTATAGAGGGAGACAAACAGAAAGATCTTCTATCTACTGGTCCACTGCCCAAATGGCCACAATGGCCAGAGCTGAACTGATCTAAAAGCCAAAATCCAAGAGCCTCTTCTGGATCTCCCACATGGGTGCAGGGTTCCAAGGATTCGGGGCCTCTTCTACTGCTTTCGTATGCCACAAGCAGGGGAGCTGAATGGGAAGTGGAACAGCTGGGACACAAACCAGTACCCATATGGGATCTTGGCACTTGAAGGGCAGGGATTAGCCAATGAGAGGCCATGAGATTTGAACTGAAGTCCAAGGTGACAGAAGAAGGGAAACAAGGAGTAGGGGTGGGAATAAGTTTAGCATGTAGAAAAAAGCAAAACAGGTCAGTATGCCTGGAGTGTAGGAGGTAGTGAGCGAGGCAGGGAATGGTGTGGGATGGTACTGGACAACATAAGTCTCGCATTGTCAGAGGGAAGGAGGCATTAATTTCCTCTTGGTTGATGTGACTGTCCTAGCAGCCTAAGCAGCTGGACTTTGTCCCACTCTCTGCTCCTGTCAGCCTTACCCCAAACACGTGCTTTGACATGGCATATGAAACACAGTACGTTGCTGAGAGCATTAACCCTTCAGTTTTATACTGTCTTTATGGCAAAATAACGAGGATTTGCTTTAACTTGTGTTTAATTATTTTATATCGAAGTGAGTTTTATCATGGAAGTGAAGAGGGCACACTGATCATTCATAGAACAGGGGACAAGACTGGCAGTGGGAAAGGGCCTGAGCAGTAGTGGTTCAGGTGTGCAGGTCTTCTGCTAGGTGGGGAAGGCCCTCTGCCCATCCGGGCTGCTGCTCTCTGGGGCTCTGACTGCATCAGGGAGTAATCCTGTCTGGTGGCAGGGAGAAGTAGATGATTTCACAACACGGGGTCAAAGAGCAGATGCACTCTTGCCTTTAGGTATTTAAATTCCAGCCAGGGAGATAGAAGAACACAGATAAGTACCACATAGGTGAGGGTTGGCAGCTTTCAAACTGTGGTAGAGGCTACTGGAGTGTAAGACATGGCAAGATCAGGGAGGCCTCCGGTGGCCTTACTCAGGGTAGATTTGGATGGAAACTGAGGACGGAGATCTTAGGTGTCAGAAAAAGCAAGTGTGAGGGTGTGAGGGTCTGAAGACCTATTGTGCACAGACCAGCTATTGTAGTTGATAACACACACAGGATGATGAATGCAAGGCCGGGCCTACATGCTGAGAGACCTGAAGTACAAGGTTTAGGAATGGATTTTATTCTGTCCAGGACAGAGAGCTGTTACATGTCGTAAGGAAATGAGGTGAAAGCAGAGGTGCCAGAGCTGGAAGGAAGCAGGAAGATGGTTTTATAGTTTGTGGTTTTCACACTTGCCTCATTGATCCCGAAAGTTCCATGAAGGCCAAGGGTGCCTGGAGGAAGAGCTGACGAGGATCAGGAAGTGAGAACCTTCACGTGCTTATATAGCAAAGAAGCGAACACACCTGTTGGAAGAGGCAGGCTTTGCTGGCTTTCTTGCCCAACACCCTGAAAGGAACTTGACCGCAAAGTCAGGTGATTTGCCCCAAACTACAGATAGATAGTTGTGTGCCTCAGGTAGGGGGAGTCAACTTTTCTTTGAGCCTGTGACTGGCACTTCAGGGATGTCCTGGTAAACCAGCTTGCTGGAAAAAGAAATCAATAAATATAGAATTAAAAATATATAAATAACTAAGTCAATCATGCATTCATCATTTGCCAGTTTCTGTGGCGTAAATAGTCTCCCCGTGGCTGACTGCAGGCAGCCGTTGTGATGTGACAGAATGCAGAACTAGGAAGAGAGGTGTATCAACAACTTTGAGCTGCCACCAGCACAGCTGTGATGTCCAGTGTCTCCAGCGCATTCGCCTCAGCTGGGATCAGCACAGACCTTTAGAAACCTGCGGCTTCCAGAAAGGCAAGCGTAGCTGTTGTGAAGGGTGCGGAGGCCTGTTAAAGTAAATTAAGTTCTTCTAAATCATCCTCATATTGTCTTTGTCCTTAGAAAAAGTTACGCTCACAGACTGCCCCAAACCCACAGGCAATCTGGAGAAATATTTGTGGCTACAGTTAGTCTGGTAGGCCAGACCTTAGAAAATTGGTCCTATTCATGTAGCAAAATATACTGAGCTGAGACAGTCACATCTTTGTGAGCACTGACAGGTCTTTAAATCTGAAGTTTTCCTTTCCTCCCATCACCCCCCATTTTAAGTTCTTGCGGGTCCAAGTGTCAGGATACTGGGTCCAGTGCTTCACAGGCTTGTCACTGGGGAAGGCCACCCCTCCCAGAGGATTCGTTGGGCAGCCACCCAGTCCCTGATTTTTGCCAGGTGGGGTGGAACTCCCAGCCAACCCGAGCTGTGATCTTCGAAGACTGTGCTGTCCCCGTGGCCAATAGAATTGGGAGCGAGGGGCAGGGCTTCCTCATTGCCATGAAAGGACTGAATGGAGGGAGGATCAACGTTGGTGAGGATGTGCATGGGTGTGGCGGGAGGTGGAGGGCTGGGTCAGCCAGCACTGGCAGGCTGGCTCAGATGGAATGTTGTCCTCTCCCCCTTCAGCTTCCTGCTCCCTGGGAGCAGCGCATGCTTCGGTTGTGCTTGCCCGAGACCATCTCAATGTCCGGAAACAGTTTGGAACCTTTCTGGCTAATAACCAGGTAATGTGCCAGCTGTCGGCCTTTGCTTCCCACTTGTTAGAGCTGCTCCCTTTTATAAAATCTGCCACTGTCTTCCCTATAATTTGTGTTGTATTTCCATCCGTGATCTTTGTCAGGAGGAAATAATATGAAAGTGCAGGACAAGGGAAGCGGACTTGGAACGTAGGAGGCAGGCAGTGTTACTGGTAGAGGAGTCAGAGCCTTGGGCCTCTCAGAAAAGCTGCCTCATTAGATCAAGTGCTGGGCCTAAGCCCCTCTGTTGTGTCTGGTTTTGTACTTCCCTCTGCTGCAGTACTTACAGTTCCAGCTGGCTGACATGGCGACGAGGCTGGTGGCCTCGCGGCTGATGATTCGCAACGCGGCAGTGGCTCTGCAGGAGGAGCGGGAAGATGCTGTGGCCCTGTGCTCCATGGCCAAGCTCTTTGCTACAGATGAGTGCTTTGCAGTAAGTGAAAAGGCCTTTTTTTAAATTTTTTTAAAGATTTATTTTTATTATTTTTTGATTGGAAAGGCGGATATACAGAGAGGAGAGACAGAGAGGAAGATCTTCCATCTGATGATTCACTCCCCAAGTGAGCACGACGGCCAATGCTATGCCGATCCAAAGCCAGGAGACTCTTCCGGGTCTCCCACACGGGTGCAGGGTCCCAAAGCCTTGGGCCGTCCTCGACTGCTTTCCCGGGCCACAGGCAGGGAGCTGGAAGGGAAGTGGGGCTGCCGGGATTAGAACCGGCGCCCATATGGGATCCCAGGTGTGCTAGGTGAGGACCTTAACCACTTGTGCCACCGGGCCTTTCCCTCTACTTGGAAGGCCAGGGAGCAGCTAGGGGACCTAAGAAGGTCAAAGGGTACAAGCCTACTTTGGACCCCAGCCCTCCCAGTATGCTGCAGGGAACATCACCGGAGAGCTTAAAATCTGCTGGCTCCCATCATCCTAGTTATAGGACATCCATAGACTTGCATAGAGCAATGTATTTATCGCTTTCAGTTTACTGAAATAAATGTCATTGAAACATTTGTGGAATTGAAAACCTTGGCCTTAATGGCCCAAGTATGTGACTTCGGCCTTGGCTAGCTGGTTATTTAGCCTGATCTGGGCCATTTCACAACTTCCTAATGTCAATCACTTGTTGTGTTTCTGGAAGGCTCAGAGCAGTCCAGTGCCTCTTGCCCACGCTCAGCATGGTCCAAGGTTGTCAGGGGCAAAGCCTCCTGCACAGTGAAGCTGCATGACCACCAGGTGGCACCTAGGCATCCTGTAGTCGCAGTGGGTAGTGTGGGCTCTGCCTCCCCAGCAGGTGGTAGGAAAGGTAGCGATCTGAACCACCTGTCTGGAGGGAATGGACTAATTTGGCGGGTGACTAACCCCTGCTGTCCCTGTCATGAGGAGTGTGCAGAGCTGGTCTTTAGGCTTGGCTGATTGTTGGCTGTACTTACTCATCAGATTACACTGGACACCAGACTGGGGACTCCGGGAGGGAGTGAAGCCTCTTGTTCCATGTCCTACCCAGAATCAAAGACACTTATTCCTTGCTGCCCTGCAGATCTGCAACCGGGCCTTACAGATGCACGGAGGCTACGGCTACCTGAAGGATTATGCCGTCCAGCAGTATGTACGAGACTCCAGGGTCCACCAAATTCTAGAAGGTGAAGGGGGTTGAGGATTCTTCTCTTCCCTTCAGAATGGTGTCAGGATCAGTGTGCTTGCCCCAGCATGTCTGTCCTCGGAGTCCCATCAGGTCCTCCCTCCTTTCCCTTCTCCCACCCTGTACTGGAATGACCTGGGGCTGCACTGGCAAGAACACTGGCCTGAAAGACGGATTGCTGTGCAGTATCACCTGGGTAAGGCATTGACTCGCACTCTGCAAGTCTGAGAGAAGGCTCCAGGGAGGTTGAAACCTGCAGCAATTGTTGTCGCTTACTGTGAAATGTCTGATTGGTCCTCAGGGATCCCAGAATGTCTGTGACTAATATCAGGCTGCAGGGTCACCAGCAGGCAGCCACAAAGTGATTGTCAGCCAGATGGTCTGAAAGATAAACATGTCAGTGTTGCTACTGGAGTCATCCTATGTGGGTAGCTTCTTGGTAGTACAGATATTCTGCCTGGGACATATCAGCCATTGGAATCAGGCTCAGTCAGAGTGTGATCTACCCCACTGCCTACAACGTGAACTTACTAAGCACGCAGAAAGAACTTGTACACCCACGGCGGGAGGTAGCAGGAACTGTTCCACTACGGGAAAAGCAGCTGGGTGAAGGCTTCTACAGTTGACTGAAGTGATGCAGGGCTGCTTTCACAGGGGTGGGAGGGGAGCCTTTTGCAAAGCCTCAAGCATGACTTGGTTTTGTTCTCAAACCTGACCTTGTTTTGTGAAGGTGTCTGTAGGACAGTTCCTGGCCCCCCTGCCTGGGGTCTGGCTGGGGCTCAGTAATGGGACTCACTAGCAGGTTTTCCAGCAAGGCTGTGCGCTTGCATGGGCAGCGCACCCAGAGAGCCACCTCTCTGGTGTGAAGTCTGAATCCTAGACTTCAGAGCCGCTGCCATATGCCACAAACCTCCCTGTGCTTGGGAGTTCGACCACTATTGCTCGGACTCGTTGCTGCTAATGCTCCTGCAGTTATTCTGTCAGCTTTCTTGAGTTTGAGGAATTGCACCTTCATTCTAACTCTTTTGATCCTGCTGTCCTCAGTGGGAAAATTTATTTCAGGTCATGCTCTCATCCACTTGTAGAAAAATGTGGGAACAGGTCACTTTGTCACTTCATTGTGCCATGGGCTTAACTGTTGGATAAGTCCGATATTTTAAGTTTGGCTTATTTGAGATTGTATGATTATTCATTTTTAGTAAAAGGGCATTGTTAAACATGAAGCAAACAATTGATGCCCTCCTTTAAGGGAAAATGTTTTATTCTTTAAATCACCCAATAACTGAATTCCTTGTTAACAAATCATATAAAAAGTCAAGGAAAATAAATTAGTCATATTTCTACATGCAGAATTAATATTTCATTATATTCCCCTTTGAATTTTTTCTACGCCTTTGTAGGCGCATTTTACAAAATTATAGTTCTTTTATAGCCTACCTTTTAATATAAGCATTTTACCATCAGTAGAGCTTGTCTTTTTAAGTAAATATTGTTCCTCATTTCCATTAAGCTTCTAAAAAATTAAAAGACAGTCAGTATTCAAAATTCCAAATAATCTTAGCCCTTGGTACTGTTGTGCAGAGATGTTCTGTAAACCACGAATTTGGAGTAGTCTCCTGGTTGCTTCTTCTGCCATGTTTTGCACCTGATTTGGAAGCCTCTTTGCCTAGTATTTCCCTTGAGGCAATTTCTCGTTTTTGTTTTATGTTCTTTAGAGGAAAATCTATGATAGTCCCGTTCCTCCCAAGGATAAAAGCAATAGCTGTGGTTTAAATCCACAGCCAGTCTGAGTGAGATAGGCGTAGCGCAGCCAGGTCAGAGCTTGAGGGAGCTCTCAGACCAATCTTTCCTTCTTCTCCCCCTGCAGGCAGCAACGAAGTGATGAGGATCCTGATCTCCCGCAGCCTGCTGCAGGAGTAGCACTCCGTGCGGGACAGTGAGCATGTGCTTTTCTGGGCAGCTGCAGTCAGCACTGAACAGTACCTGCTGGGCTCCATGCTGCTCCCTGCTGGGCAGATCGTGGGCTGGACGGAAGGAATGAGCTCTTCCAAAGGGAATCTGCACTGCCTACTCAGACCAGTGTTGACTCGGACAACAGCAGAGTCCTCAGTGGCAATGGAAAGATGACCCGGATGAAAAAAGGCACTTACTTTGATGCCCTCGTGCTGGAAAGGCAGCCAGCGAAGTTTCCTTGTCCAACCAGAATCCTTTCTTGGATCTCCATTGTCTTGCTTCGTCTGCATCCTGCTGGTTCTTTTCGTGTTTGTAGAGCCAAACATATGGGAGGGGAAATGGAGAGAAAATGCCTGTGTTGCTTTTTTGCTTCTTGTAGCACAGCTACAGAGACGGAAGGCTTCTGCGGCTCGCTCCTCTGCATACAGGTCATGATGTGAACGGCTGGGAGACTGCTCCAAGCCTGGCATGTACAGTGAGTCTCCACTTTGACCTAATATCAAGGGCTGAGATTCTTGGGAATTTTGAATACTTTTTGCACTTTGAGAAGCCTGTGGTCTAGGAGTGGAATTCCATAACTCTTTCTCCTAAAAGGAGTATCTTCTGAGCTTTGGAGTTGCTCTTTATTAATGTTTTTAATCACCATCTTGTTATAAAATCTCCCCCTTTCTAAACTATGTCTCTGGTCTTATGAAAGTTTGTTTTTCTCTATGCTTCTGCTTAGGCATTTATAATTTGACTATTAAGCATATAACTAGATTTTGGAGTCATCAGAAATCTTCCCTTGACCAATCACATCCCTTATATTATGAGTGGATTTGGAAATAAAACATTATGATGCATGAAAAAATAGATTTAAGGCAGTATTCGAAGATGGAAAATTTCTGGGAAACCTGGTTGTAAATGATTATGACATTTCTCTGTTCACTCATCTCTAGGAAAAAATATGTAGCCATATTAATATTTCCTTCTACATAAAGAACTGGATTGGGGGCTTCTAGGAGAGCAGTGTGTGTGTTCCAAAAGTTGAAGGTGTGCCACCCAGGGCCTTATTTAACGGAGGAACTAAACAGGAGATAAGAATTCAGATGAAGCTTTATGAAAATGTGCACTTTTTAAAAAGATCTATTTTTATTGGAAAGTCAGATATATAGAGATAAGGACAGAGAGAGAGAGAGAAATAGCTTTCGTCCATTGATTCACTCCCCAAGCAGCCACACTGGCCAGAGCTGAGCCAATCAGAAACCAGGAACCAGCAGCCCCTTCCAGGTCTCCCACGTGGGTGCAGGGTCCCAAGGTTTGGGTCATCCTCGACTGTTTTCCCAGGCCTCAGGCAGGAAGCTGGATGGGAAGTGGAGCTGCTGGGATTAGAACCGGCGCCTGTATGGGATCCTGGCACATTCTAGTCTAGGACTTTAGCTGCTAGGCTCCCACACCAGATCCAATGTATACATTATTACTGAGGATCCAGAGTCCGTTTCAGACAGCAGAGAATCAGGAACAGGAAAAGGTGAGGATCTGTGTGGGAGCTGTGTATTATTCTTTCGGGGTGGCCTGCAACAACAAGAAAATACAAGTTAACTCTCAATGGAGAGTTATGAAAGCCAAGGGCAGAGTTTTATTTGCTAAGCAGTAGATAGTTATGGAAGGTTTTTAGTGAAGAAGCTATGAAGAGATTAGTCTGTTTTCAAGAACGTTCTGGAAAGTATATGTGGGATGAATATAGCTGGGTAAAAGGTAGAAGGATGTTGTTGAAATAGTCAAGGGGGTTGGTGCTGTGATGTAAAAAGCATCACCTGTTACATTGGCATCCCATCTGTGCATTGGTTCCTGTCCAGCCCAGAAGTGCCTCCCTTCAGCCTGACCCACCTCTGGCTGCTGTGGCCAACTGGGGAGGAACCAGTGGGTGAAAGCCCTCTTTCTTCCTCTCCCTTTAGTCTGCTTTCCACTGTAGTGTAACTCTGACTTTCAAATAAATGAATGTGTGTGTGTGTGTGTGTGTGTGTGTGTGTGTGTGTGTGTATTTTTAAAGGAGGTAGTCAAGTTAGGAAGGTGAAAGAACAGAGACAAGGAAACACAAACTGTGCTTCAGAGGACCTGGTGTGGAACTTGCAGTCTTCCTTCTCACCTGGTCCTCAGGGTGCAGAGTCTCCTGCTCAGACTCCAGCACAGCTTTATCGGCATCGCTAATGATCCCCCTGGCGGCATCAGGCGACCCGATCCCTGTTCAGCATCCATTTCTCACCATCACTGGCACTCATTATTTAATGTTCTTAGTTTCCCAACAGCCTAGCAAGAACATTTTGAGATAGCTGTTTACAGCCTGTGTCTATGCTCTTTGGAAAGTTGGTTTTCTTCTTCTTCCTGTTTATTGCGTTCTTCACCTAATGGAAAATGAAGCCTAGGATTGGGAAATGAACTGAAAGCATGTCATTGTAACAAAATTTAAAAAAATAATAAAGAAGTGTGAGGGTGGCTGAGGAACATGGCCAGGAGGGTAAGCAGGGTGAGAGGTAGCACTGTTGCTCCTAAATATATATTGTGAAATCTGTTCACCTTATATAAATAAAAGAATTTTAAAATATGTAGAAGTAATTTGATACCTGTAGCAAGTAAACATATACTTTTTAGTTACTTTCACTATCATTTGTTTGGCTATTTCCTGAAGCAGAACAACAAATACATCTCAAAGTTTCCCATTAGTTTCTTCTTTATCGTGTATCGATTTGATGAACTAGGTATGTACTATTCATTTTAGTGCTAACCTGACTATACTTTTATATTAAAACTCTGGCTCCAAAGCCCTTTCCTGTGAGTTATTTCGTAGTTCCCCGATTTTCACACAGATGGATACTTCAATAGATAGTCAACAGATCACTCAATAGATCCCTGAGTTAAATTGATTTGAACCTGTACATCAACCCTGCCAATAGCAGCTGCCAAGCCTCCTGGTAGGTTTCGAGACTGGATTGCTGATTCAAGCTCCTGTATTTCAGTTTGAATGCTAGCTCCTCCAGCAACCATGGCAAAAGTAACTAACTCATTAGCTTGTTTCCTCCTACATAAACTGAAAACAATAAGCACTTCCCATAATATAATTGGGGATTCAAGTGGAAGAATCTGTACTTATGGCTCATGTGAGAGTCTGTTACGCAAAGCACTCTCAATGAGTATTGATCTACATTATTAACCTGGTTTATAGGTGAACACAGTGAACCATAAAGTGTCATGCCAGTTCTTAATGGAAGGCTAAGTTTGAAATTGAAATACAGCTCTGCCCAGAACCTTTAGAGGAGCATTCAGGTCAGCGACAGAATTCTATACCTTTCCTCCAGCACATGAATACCAGATGAGCTTTGTCCTGGAGTCCTAGAAAGGGTCCATTTTCATTCACTTTCCAGTCAGTTTGCCACTGTCTGCCCTCTTGGCTTTATTTAAGTGTTTTCATATAAATTCTCACCTAATTTTTTTTTCCTCTGGCATTTAGAAAGGTGTTCTGTTTCCTGAGTGTAAGCATCAGCAGAACACCATGGAAATAGGTTCTTCCCGCATCAAGCTGGGCAGGTGTTTGGCCCAGTGGCTGATAACAAGACCAGATCATGCATTACTCACTTCTACAAGGTCAGGTTAGCAACACCACTGGTGGGAAGACAAGAAGGACCTCAAGAAGTTGGAGGGCAGAATGGGGAACCCCATGGACCAGTCTTTCTGACTGAAGATCAAATCTCAGGTGTTTGGTGAACTGTAACAGAGAGTAGGTGAGAAGGGGAAAATGAGACAGGATGGACAAAATGCTCCTCTACTGCTTAGAATGGAGGGAAAAAAATCACTTTGACCTACTCAGAGTGAAAAGATAGGGCCTCAACAGTTACCTGAGGCTGGATCACATTTCTTTCTTTTCCCTCCCCAGCTCACACATACAGGTGTAGAATGGTATGTATTGGGCCTGGCGTGATGGCTCACTGTCTACATCCTTGCCTTGTGTGTATTGGGAATCCATATGGGTTCATGTCCCAGCTGCTCCACTTCCCATCTAGCTAGCTGCCTGTGGCCTGGGAAAGCAGTAGAGGAAAGCCCAAACTCTTGGGACCCTGCATCTGGAAGAGGCTTGGGGTTCCTGCTTTTGGATCCCCTCAGCTCCAGCGATTGCGGCCACTTGGGGAGTGAACCAGTAGATGGATGATCTTTCTCTGTCTCTTCTTCTCTCTGTATATCTGCCTTTTTAATAGAAATAATTTTTAAAGGACTGTATGTGTCCCAGTTCCTTTGCCCTTTCTCTCCTGGTTGCTTGTTCCTTTTCACCCCGTCTCTGGATTGATAGCACCAGTCTCTAGGTCTGGGAAGTTGGCTAAGATACTCACCTCTTAGCAACACAGCAGAAAACAGACTGGGCTCTACCTCTGCTCAGGCATTATAAACACTCACAGGATAGAGAGAGTGATGACTCATTCACTTCACCCCTATGGGACCCCAGGAGCAGGGCATCTCAAGCTTGAAGGGGCCAGCACTGCTTTGGAGAAGGGTCTTGGAATCTATTTCCTGTGCTGGTTCATGTTAACCCTCCCCAGCATTAATGCACACGTTATACCTCTGTCCAGTACCTTTCCTAAGCCTCACCTGGATGAAGGTCCTGAAATTCTTAACACAGAACTCTTCCTCTGGAACTATTAGTGTTTTAATTGTGTGTGTAAAGCAGTGCATAGCATAAAATTTTTTAAAATTTTGTATTTTAAAAATAAAATGGAGATGAAGAACACTGAGAGTAAGCTTTTAAAAATGTATTTTAAAGATGAATGGGACATGGAGAGTAATCTCCCATTGCCTATTTTGCTACCAGATGATCATGACAGCAAGGGATGGGTCAGGCTGAAGCAGGGGCTTGGAGCTCTGTCAAATCTCACATGTATTGCAGGGGCCCAAGCCATTGTCCATTGCCTTCTTAGGTGTGTTAGCAGGAAGATGGATTGAAAAAGGAATAGAGGGTTTCAAATCTGCCCTGTGAAATTGGATGCTGGCCTCTTAGGTGGCAGTTTACACCACTGTACCACACCGCCAGCCCCAATACTTCCGTCTGACCAAGGACTTCAGAGTTAGAGACACATATCTGATTTATCTCTTTTATGATTTCCTGGAATGTCATGCAAATAATTTTAATGTGCATAAGTTGATGTGGGAAGCAGACTGAGTCAGACCCTCTACTGGCAAGCACACACAAGAGTCAGGCCTGGGATCACTTCAGACAAGGTGTTCTGGGGATCCCCCAACTGAATCCACTAGACTCAGAATGCTAACCATGGGGAGAATCACCGCATCCATGGTCTTACTGTGGAGTGCATGTGTCAGAACTGGGCCTCCTCAGTGGTTCAGATGGAGCAGTAGACAGCATGCCCAGATGCACATGGAGGATATGGCAGTCCACTGGGACCTGCAGAGGACATAGCGGAGGAAGGTGGGCAGAGCAAATTGGTCAATATTCTAGTCAAGCGTTGACAGAAAATATCTGGGCAAATACAAACTCTAAGGTAGACTAGGTCAGCCAATGGAGCTTGGAAGGAATTCTTCATCCTTAGACCAGTGAGATCAACAGCATTTCAGAAGTATTGAAACCACTTGAGCAGAACCCTCAGAGCATGCTCCACATCTGGGGCTCTGGAATGATATCAGGTGGCCATTCCCCATCCCTGGGTACTGAGCCGATGGGGTGTGGCTTCTCCTCCTAGTTCCCTGCTACCCCAGATACACAGCAAGAAGAAACAGAAAACTTGGAAACAGTGCTCTCATCCATTTTTTTTCCTAATCCACCACCCATCCTATCTTAATCAAATATGTAAACATCAAAAATAACATTT